TTGTTTTAATACTTATTAGCAAAACCTCTGAACTGCTCGCTGAGAACATTTGTTACATTGCAGCCTAGTTAAAATCTAGTGGTAGTCAATCAGACGGTCTCTAGAGGTGCATTCTGGGCCTGTGCTGTACAGTATGCAGCACCTCTATTCAGCATCTCCATGTTCTGCATCGATACGATTAATACTCACCATTCGGGTGCATTTATTCAGGCGTGTTTTTCTGCGCATGCGCAATGGTCTCTAAATGCTTTCCTATGGGAAAGCATTGGATTGGCTGAGATTGTCAAGTGAGATTATCTCAGCCATGGTGAGACTGTCACGGCGTTGGGAAAAAGGTCAGTAAGAGCACCATTCCCATGTGATCAGAGGGCCAGTCACCTAAACAGACGCACTCACTGACAGACACACCGACTCACTGACACAAACACATTCACAGACAGATACACACACACATTCAAAAAACACACTGACAGCAGACACACACACTCACTGACAGACCGGACAGCAGACACACACACTCCCAGACTGACACACACACACACTGACAGACAAACTGACAAACACACACACTCACAGACAGACACGCTCACTGACAGACACACACATAGACTCACAAATTATTAGTTATATTCAAATTTGTCCGCCCAGGCTCCCTACCTTTCCCAGGGGTCCGGAGGGGAAGCTTATCTTCCTGCTCCCTCACGCGCTGTTTAGTGAGGGGCTGGAGTTACATCATATTCCGGCTCTCGGCATCAGTGGACAGCTTTCAGAAAGTTCAAAGCTCCCTCGCCGCCTCCGTAGTAAGTCAGCCACCTGCCTCAACTAATCTTGTGTCATAAGCCGCCTGCCTGTCGGCTGCCTGGATCCACTCACTATGAGTCACCTGCTTGTCCAGCTGCCTGTCTCTGCTCACCATGAGCCGACTGCCTGTCCATCTGCCTTTGCTCACTATGAGCCGCCTGCATGTCCGCCCACCTCCGCTCTCTATGAGCCGACTGCCACCTTGGGGGCTGAAGGGGCTCACTCATCCCAGGATCTGTAGAGCCCTGGCCTAGGTAATAACATTTCCATCATTATGGCATACGATTTTCAAAATAGGCAACCCAGAGTGTTTTGAGAAGTTTGGTCATGCCACACTTAGTGATTATACTTTTATATGTGTTTTTATAAACACACATGAATTCCATTTTTACAGGATATTTCATAATCCTGATATGAGTTAGTTTATCCCTTAGTAACCAGACCACTTTTCAATTTTGTTACCATTTTGGACCAGCGCGGTTTTTACATTTCTGAGGTGTTTGTGTTTAGCTGTAATTTTCCTCTTACTCATTTACTGTCTGTACCAACACATATTATATACTGCTATTTCCAAACAATTTTTTTTTTTTACATGAACGCAAGTTACATTGTAACACTAATATCTGTCAGGAATCCCTGAATAACCCTTCACATGTATATTATTTTTAAAAGAAGACAACCCAAGTTATGAAACTTGGGGTATTTTGACTCTTTTCATATAACCATTTAACACCAATCTATGCCAAATTAAAAAAAAAAAAATTGTGATTTTTTTTTTTGACACACGTAGCAATTTAAGAATACATGTACGGAGAACTTTAAGGGGTACTGCCCCAAAACACCCCAATATGTGTTCAGCAACATTTCTTGAGTACAGTGAATCTCCCCATGTATAGGTGTGTCGGGTTCTCTGGGGGCTAAAAGACCTTATTTAGAGGGTGCGCATTCCAGTTTTCCAACTTGGAGTTTTCACAGATGGTCATCATGCAACCATGTCCTATTTGGACATTTTTGAAGCTGGCCAATGTAATTTACCCACAACAATCCATTTCAAATGGTGGTATTTTAACACTTTTCATGCACTAATTCTACCACCAGTCTTTGTCAACCTTTTGGGTAGTCATTTTTTTGTGTTATTTTTCAAACACATTGTACTTTAGGCATGGATTCTCAGCTCCTGTTATGTATTACTGCCAAAAAACACCCCAATATGTGTTCAGCAACATCTCCTGAGTACAACAGTGCCCCCAATGTACAGATTTTATGGGTTTTTGCAAACTTATAGGAGTCAAATGTAGGGCTTTCCCATTTTCCATGTTTGCACATTGAAATTTGCCAGATTGGTTTGCTATGTTGCCTTTGAGACGATGGTTTCCGGTGCTTATTTTGGCCACGGACATACAGGGTATGTCAGCAGTCGTTAACTATCGTTTTTTGGCTGACGTACCCTGTACGTCCGCGGTCACTAAGGGGTTAATAAAGCCTCAATATTTTGATTTAACATTGTCTCACGAATACAAAGGTCCCCCCATGTATCAGTTTCCAGGTGTTTTGGGGAAGTCAAGGGCCAAATATTTTAGATGCCCATTTCAAAGTTGGAAATTTAAGAAAGTGATTTTCTGTGTCTATGTTACCTTTGAGAGAGTATGGTAGATTGGGTAATATTTCCACCATTATGATATACCATTTTGAAAAGCAAGCAACACAGAGTATTCCAAATGGCATATTATGAGATGTTTGGTCTAACGACTTTATCCCACTTTATATTTTCTTTTGTGTTTTTTCACACACATATATATTCAATTTTCACAGGAAATGTCATAATCCTGATATGAGTTAGTGCAATAAAGCCACAGCATTTCTATTTCACATTGTCTCACAAATACAGTTGCAAGAAAAAGTATGTGAACCCTTTGGAATGATATGGATTTCTGCACAAATTGGTCATAAAATGTGATCTGATCATCATCTAAGTCACAACAATAGACAATCACAGTCTGCTTAAACTAATAAACACACAAAGAATGAAATGTTGCCATGTTTTTATTGAACACACCATGTAAACATTCACAGTGCAGGTGGAAAAAGTATGTGAACCCCTAGACTAATGACATCTCCAACAGCTAATTGGAGTGAGATGTCAGCCAACTGGAGTCCAATCAATGAGATGAGATTGGAGGTGTTGGTTACAGCTGCCCTGCCCTATAAAAAACACACACCAGTTCTGGGTTTGCTTTTCACAAGAAGCATTGCCTGATGTGAATGATGCCTTGCACAAAAGAGCTCTCAGAAGACCTACGATTAAGAATTGTTGACTTGCATAATGCTGGAAAGGATTATAAAAGTATCTCCAAAAGCCTTGCTGTTCATCAGTCCACGGTAAGACAAATTATCTATAAATGGAGAAAGTTCAGCACTGCTGCTACTCTCCCTAGGAGTGGCTGTCCTGTAAAGATGACTGCAAGAGCACAGCGCAGACTGCTCAATGAGGTGAAGAAGAATCGTAGAGTGTCAGCTAAAGACTTCCAAAAGTCACTGGCAAATGCTAACATCCCTGTTAGCGAATCTACAATACATAAAACACTAAACAAGAATGGATTTCATGGGAGGATATCACAGAGGAAGCCACTGCTGTCCAAACAAAACATTGCTGCACGTTTACAGTTTGCACAAGAGCACCTGGATGTTCCACAGCAGTACTGGCAAAATATTCTGTGGACAGATGAAACCAAAGTTGAGTTGTTTGGAAGAATCACACAACACTATGTGTGGTGAAAAAAAGGCACAGCACACCATCATCAAAACCTCATCCCAACTGTGAAGTATGGTGGTGGGGTCATCATAGTTTGAGGCTGCTTTGCTGCATCAGGGCCTGGACGGATTGCTATCATCGAAGGAAAAATGAATTCCCAAGTTTATCAAGACATTTTGCAGGAGAACTTAAGGCCATCTGTCTACCAGCTGAAGCTCAACAGAAGATGGGTGTTGCAACAGGACAATGACCCAAAGCATAGAAGTAAATCAACAACAGAATGGCTTAAACAGAAGAAAATACACCTTCTGAAGTGGCCCAGTCAGAGTCCTGACCTCAACCCGATTGAGATGCTGTGGCATGACCTCAAGAAAGCGATTCACACCAGACATCCCAAGAATATTGCTGAACTGAAACAGTTCTGTAAAGAGGAATGGTCAAGAATTACTCCTGACCGTTGTGCACGTCTGATCTGCAACTACAGGAAACGTTTGGTTGAAGTTATTGCTGCCAAAGGAGGTTCAACCAGTTATTAAATCCAAGGGTTCACATACTTTTTCCACCTGCACTGTGAATGTTTACATGGTGTGTTCAATAAAAACATGGCAACATTTCATTCTTTGTGTGTTATTAGTTTAAGCAGACTGTGATTGTCTATTGTTGTGACTTAGATGATGATCAAATCACATTTTATGACCAATTTGTGCAGAAATCCAAATCATTCCAAAGGGTTCACATACTTTTTCTTGCAACTGTATAACAGTACCTCAACATACCGTATTTTCAGGTTTTTTGGTGAACCGCAGGCGAAATATATTGGATGCCCTTTTCAAAGTGTAAATTTAAAAAGTGATTTTCTAGGCCTTTTTCGCCTTTGAGGCAGTATGTCAGCCCAGGAAAAAAAAAATACCACCATGATGACGTCATTTTTAAAAGTAGGTAACCAAGGGTATGAGGTAATTTCAGTTGTTTGGTCTAACCACTTTATCAAAAGTACTGACTCATGGTCATATTTTCTTTTGTTTTCTTAACACACGTGAATTCCATTTTCACAGAAATTTCTATAATTCAAGTTTGTGTTAGTGCAATGAAGCCTCAATATTTTTTATTTCACGGCTTGACAAATGCCAGGCGCTAGGTCTCCATGGTGACTAGGGAGTTTGTCCTGGCATGTGGGTGTTTGTCAGCAAGTGGCCGGCTAAGGCAGAATGGAGGCAGGCAGCCTCTGCTCACTTGCACACCCTTCAGTGATGCTGGGAGCCAGTATATGACATCACTTCAGCCTTGGTGTCACTGGTGCACAGGGGAGCAGAGAAAGAAAAGCAGGAAGATTTTAGTAGCCACATTGGACCTCATGGAAAGTATTCACTCCAGCTCTCCCAAAGGTAGGGATGCTGGATGAACTTAAATTAAAACACAAATATTTTGTGAGTGAATGCGTGTGTTTGTCAGTGAGTGTGTGTCTGCATGTCAAATCAGTGAGTGTGTGTCACTGTGTATGTCTCTGTTTAGGTTACCGGCCCCCCTCCGATCACATGGAAAAGGTGTTTTTACTCACCCTTTTCCCCAAGCCATGACAGTCTTGCTGTGGCTGGAGCGTCTTTATGGCTGAGATAATCAATCTTGATGATCTCAGTCAATCCAATGCTTTAAATAGCAATGCATTGGAAGGTGATTGGGCATCATCCTGCTGCGCCAATCAGCATCCCCTTATAGAGATGCATTAAATTAATTAATTTCTATAGAGAACATTCAGTGACCATGCAGTGCAGCACAACTAGACTAAGAAGCACCTCTAGTGGCCATCTGAGTGACTGTCACTAGCGGTGTTACTAGGCAGCAATATAAACACTGTATTTTCTCTAAGATGGCAGTGTTACACTGAAAAGCCTGCACAGACAGGCTATAGACACCAGATCCACTACATTAAGCTGCAGTGGTTCTGGTGACTATAGTATCCCGTTAAGAATTTTATTTTTGTCATTAAAAATAAACCTTTGTTAGTTTAAAAAAAACAAAAAAACTGTTTCCTAACTTTTTTAGCTGGCTCCTAGATTCCAAGCAAATTTGTCAAGACATCTTTTATTTAACATTGTCTTACGAGTAGAACAGTGCCCCCACGTACTGTTTTTTTCAGGGGATTTTCAGTATGTCACATGGCGAAATATATCAAATTGCCTTTTCAACTTGCAAAATTGACATAGTTTTTCTAGGTCCTAACACTTGTGCTGGCTGGGGCCTCACAACCACCTAAATCCTTCCCTTGATAAATCCAAAACTCCCATGTATAGCCAGTAGCGCATTCACATACTTTATAGAATTTGAAGTCATATCGTGACCGCTTTGATGGGATATATTGTTTGAAAAACCTTTAAATTTCATAAGGGTTTCATTAATACAAATACATGATTTTAGAAAAATTTGGTCTGGCTGGATTTGGATATGGGGATGAATTTTGTACAGTCTGTTAAACAATGGGCCATTTTGAGGGGGACACAGTGTTAAAATGGAGGAATCGCAGCATTTGCTCATAGCGATCCCTCTTCACAACAACTGGGAAAAGATGGATAGACAGGATAGGGTGCTAGTGTAAGTAGGAGTATCAGGCCTTCACAATATCCATTAATAGATTTATAGCCCAAAATGTTTTCATTTCGGTGACATCAGTGCCACATGTTATTTTTTTCCGACTGTAGTGTGTCCCTGGATTTGCAGGCGGATACTGGCTGGCATATAGATTGCATTGCTCTGCCACCAGCTCGGATATGTTCTCCGACATAAAAAGCCTAAAATAGCTCACTGTCTCACAAACATCTACCACTGTTGTGATGCCAAATGTAGCAGTGAATTTCTATGGCTGTAAAGTTTGGGGGTTCTCAGCTTTCATCTGGCACGGCGAGGCGTCCTAAGCGCTTTCTTGTAAATGGTGTCAGAGGCTGTCATAGTGTCACTGTCTGAGTCTGCCAGACTGGAGCAAGCCTGCTGTGCTGTATAATAGCCTATGGTTGACATGCTGAGCAGGCAGCCATTCCACCTATGATAATGAGCCAGCATCATGAGAAATCCAGTCCGCGCCCCTGCTTTACTCCCTGGAACGTTCCCTTCCCTCCATGGCTGTTCTATATAATGGCAATTCGAATCCTCGTTCAGCATTGCACAATTCCCACGCATAGCACTTAGCCAGCATTACACTCAGGACTCATCTCACCGTTGCCAGGCAACCTCCTCCTTGCTTTTCCATTCGATAGGCCGCGGCTCTCGCACAGACCTCGCCAGGAATCGGACGCGGGCTCCTATTGGCTGCATGGTCTCCGGTTCTGCTTCCCATTGGCTGTCACTCTCTGGCCATCCCACGTCACGTTCTCACACCATTCCATAGTATGCAGCCTTCAGGTGAGAACCAGAGATTGGACGCGTGAGGGCTCTGGTGGGCGTGGCTTGAGGGCCGTTCGGTTCCCTTCGCGCTGTTTGATTGGATATCGGAGTTGTCAGTCAGGGCTGCAGACAGTAGTGGCGCGGCAGGGCAGTGCCGGGGATGTTGTAGTTATAAACCTATGCCATCCCTCCTTCATCCTACTCAGCCAGCCAGGAGCTTATAGCAGCACGGAGACAGGAGCAGCTACAGCACACACACAGGTCAGTGTCTGATATTAAAATAATAATAATATATATACACACAGGACAGTGTCTGATATTATAATAATAATAATATACACACAGGACAGTGTCTGATATTATAATAATAATAATAATAATATACAGGTCAGTGTCTAATATTATAATAATAATAATATATATACACACAGGTCAGTGTCTAATATTATAATAATAATATATATACACACAGGACAGTGTCTGATATAATAATAATAATAATAATATATACACACAGGTCAGTGTCTGATATTATAATAATATATATACACACAGGACAGTGTCTGATATTATAATAATAATAATAATAATATATACACACAGGTCAGTGTCTGATATTATAATAATATATATACACACAGGACAGTGTCTGATATTATAATAATAATAATAATATATACACACAGGTCAGTGTCTGATATTATAATAATAATATATACACACAGGACAGTGTCTGATATTATAATAATAATAATATACACACAGGACAGTGTCTAATGTTATAATAATATATACACACAGGTCAGTGTCCAATATTATAATAATATATACACACAGGTCAGTGTCTAATATTCTAATACTATATATATACACACACAGGACAGTGTCTAATATCATAATAATAATAATATACAAAACCTGTCAGTGTCTAATATTATTATAATAATAATATACACACACAGGATAGTGTCTAATATTATAATAATAATATATATAAAACAGGACAGTGTCTAATATTATAATAATAATGTACACACACACACAGGACAGTGTTTGATTTTCTAATAATAATATACAGGACAGTTTCTAATATTATTATAATAATAATAATAATTGTATATACACACAGGACAGTGTCTAATATAATAATAATAATAATATTATACAAAACAGGTCCGTGTCTAATATTATAATAATAATATATACACACACAGGGCAGTGTCTAATATTATAATAATAATAATATACAAAACAGGTCAGTGTCTAATATTATTATAATGTATACAAAACAGGACAGTGTCTAATATAATAATAATATATACACACACACAGGTCAGTGTCTAATATTAAAATAATAATATACAAAACAGGGCAGTGTCTAATATTATTATAATAATAATAATAATATACACACAGGTCAGTGTCTAATATAATAATATACAAAACAGGTCAGTGTCTAATATTATAATATTAATATACACACAGGGCAGTGTCTAATATTATCATACTAATATACAAAACAGGTCAGTGTCTAATATAATATATACACACAGGTCAGTGTCTAAAATTATAATAATATACAAAACAGGTCAGTGTCTAATATTATAATAATATACACATAGGTCAGTATCTTCTGTTTTAATAAACACACGGGTCAGTGTCTAATATTATAATAATATATACACACACAGATAAGTGTCTTCTGTTATAATAATACACACAGGTAAGTGTCTTCTGTTATAATAATACACACAGGTCAGTGACTTCTGTTATAATAATACTCGCAGGTCAGTGTCTTATCATAGAAACATAGAATGTGACAGCAGATAAGAACCATTCGGCCCATCTAGTCTGCCCTATTTTCTAAATACTTTCATTAGTCCCTGGCCTTATCTTATAGTTAGGATAGCCTTATGCCTATCCCACGCATGCTTAAACTCCTTTACTGTGTTAACCTCTACCACTTCAGCTGGAAGGCTATTCCATGTATCCACTACCCTCTCAGTAAAGTAATACTTCCTGATATTATTTTTAAACCTTTGTCCCTCTAATATAAGACTATGTCCTCTTGTTGTGGTAGTTTTACTTCTTTTAAATATAGTCTCCTCCTTTACTGTGTTGATTCCCTTTATGTATTTAAAGGACCACTCTAGGCACCCAGACCACTTCAGCTTAATGAAGTGGTCTGGGTGCCAGGTCCAGCTAGGGTTAACCCATTGTTTTATAAACATAGCAGTTTCAGAGAAATTGCTATGTTTATTAATGGGTTAAGCCTTCCCCCAAATCCTCTAGTGGCTGTCTCGTTGACAGCCGCTAGAGGCGCTTGCGTGCTTCTCACTGTGATTTTCACAGTGAGAGCACGCCAGCGTCCATAGGAAAGCATTATGAATGCTTTCCTATGCGACCGGCTGAATGCGTGCGCAGCTCTTGCCGCGCGTGCGCATTCAGCCGACGGGGTGGAGAGGAGGAGGAGGAGAGCTCCCCGCCCAGCGCTGGAAAGGGGTAAGTTTTTACCCCTTTCCCCCTTCCAGAGCCGGGCGGGAAGGGGTCCCTGAGGGTGGGGGCACCCTCAGGGCACTATAGTGCCAGGAAAACGAGTATGTTTTCCTGGCACTATAGTGGTCCTTTAAATGTTTCTATCATATCCCCCCTGTCTCGTCTTTCCTCCAAGATCCTTTAACCTTTCCTGGTAAGTTTTATCCCGCAATCCATGAACCAGTTTAGTAGCCCTTCTCTGAACCCTCTCTAAGGTATCAATATCCTTCTGAAGATACGGTCTCCAGTACTGTGTACAATACTCCAAGCGAGGTCTCACCAGTGTTCTGTATAATGGCATGAGCACTTCCCTCTTTCTACTGCTAATACCTCTCCCTATACAACCAAGCATTCTGCTAGCATTTCCTGCTGCTCTATTACATTGTCTGCCTACCTTTGTCATCAGAAATAATCACCCCTAAATCCCTTTCCTTATATGTTGAGGTTAGGACTCTATCAAATATTCTGTACTCTGCCCTTGGGTTTTTACGTCCAAGATGCATTATCTTGCACTTATCCACATTAAATGTCAGTTGCTACAATTCTGACCATTTTTCTAGTTTACCTAAATCATTTGCCATTTGGCTTATCCCTCCTGGAATATCAACCCTGTTACATATCTTAGTATCATCAGCAAAAAGACATACCTTACCATCAAGACCTTCTGCAATATCACTAATAAAAATATTAAAGAGAATGGGTCCAAGTACAGATCCCTGAGGTACCCCACTGGTGACAAGTCCAAGCTTTGAATATATTCCATTAACTACAACCCTCTGTTGCCTGTCACTCAGCCACTGCCTTACCCATTCAACAATATTGGAATCCAAACTTAAAGATTGCAGTTTATTGATAAGCCTTCTATGTGCAACAGTGTCAAAAGCCTTACTGAAATCTAGGTAAGCAATGTCTACTGCACCACCCTGATCTATAATTTTAGTTACCCAATCAAAAAAATCAATAAGATTAGTTCGGCATGATCTCCCTGAAGTAAACCGATGTTGTCTCTGATCTTGAAATCCATGTGTTTTTAGATGTTCAACAATCCTATCCTTTAACAAGATTTCCATCACTTTCCCCTCTACTGAAGTAAGGCTTACTGGCCTATAGTTGCCCGACACCTCCCTATTACCTTTCCTGTGAATGGGCACAACATTCGCTAACTTCCAATCTTCTGGGACTACTCCAGTTAACAATGATTGGTTAAATAAATCTGTTAATGGTTTTGCTAGTACACCACTAAGCTCTTGTAATAGCTTTGGGTGTATTCCATCAGGTCCCATTGACTTATTTGTCTTTACTTTTGACAGTTGAAATAGAACCTCTTCCTATAATAATAATAATAATAATAATAATACACACAGGTCAGTGTCTTCTGTTATAATATACACAGGTCGGTGTCTTCTATTATTAATTTTTATATAGCGCCAGCAAATTCCATAGCGCTATACAATAATACTATATACACAGGTCAGTGTTTGCTATATACAGAGCATCACACTATAACTACCATGTGTCACAGCAAGGGGCTACTGTGTATATATAGAGCAAGGGGCTACTGTAATTACCATGTGGAAATGCACAGCTACTACATTGAGCACAGAACACATCCCAGAGTTTTTAATATTTACATATTTTATCCATAAATACATATCATACGAACTCAGGGATCTCAATAAATGCATATCATTCCCACCCAGGTATCAATCAATAAATACCATACTCTCCCAGGGCTATCAATAAATACATATCCTACCCATCCAGGGATATCCATAAATACATACCATATACATACATACAGGGATAGCAAAAGATAAATATCATACCCATGCAGAGGTATCAATAAGGTCCATATTATATGCACCCAGTGGTATCAATAAGATAAATAGCATGCCTGCTAAGGGGTAACACTAAGGTACACCTCATACTCAATAAAGTGCACATAATACCCACCCACGGGTATCCGTAAAGTGCACATAGTACATACCCGGGGTATTAAAAAAGGTGCAAGTTATACCCACCCCTTTAAGAGGTATTGTTTAATAAAATGTACGTTGTACGTACCAATGGGGATCACTCGATAAAGTGTGAATTATACCTATTCAGAGATAGCTATTAGTAATGTGCTCAGTATACTTAGCTGTATCAATAACATGTATGTCATATGCATCCAGGGGAATTATGCCTTTCAGGAATTATACTCTAATCAAGATATCGCTTACTAAGATGTACAGTGTACCAACCCAAGGTTATCACTAAATAACATCACACCTACCTGGATGTATCACTTATTTCATTGCATCACATTCCTTCCTAACACTAGTTCTTGTACGATTCACAATATACCCGCCTAGTTTTATCTACTTTTAAAGTGGAAAGTGGGTTATTGTACTGCATCTCCTAGCAATGTACATGTTTTAACTCTCCTAAACAGTTGCATCACTAAATAAAAAATTTTTCAAATCACTGGGATCCGTGACTCCTAATCATTTTATTGTATTTTTAGTATTTGAATATGAAGTATAAAATTGTAATAATGCACATAATCTCTGGTTCCTTAAACTTTTGTTTACAAAAATCAGATTGGCTTTTAAAACTATCTAACTGGCTTCTAAATCCTAGACATGTGTGTCAAGTCTTACTAAATGAGGGTAACCAGCTTCTGCCTAAGTACTTGTTATGAACATGGACATTGGACATGACATGGACATTGGACATGAAGTGGCACTCCAGCCCTCCAAAAACACAGAGTAAGCCATGATTCTATAGGATTGGCATGCTCATTATTAAAATGGTTTTTGTAAAAAAAAAAAAAAAAACCTGCTGAATTCTAATCTTTGCATGCGTTCTAATTATTCTGTATTCTTACTTAAGTTGCTGGTAGTAAATATGTAGAAAGTTACGTAGATTGTGACCCCATCTTAGATAGGTGTATTTTTGTTTTGAATGATGGCCTAAAATCTCACTCCTGTTTCTATAGTAAATATCCAAGTAAGTTATGGCATATACACTTGATTCCATTGTCTATTGAGTTTTTTTCTCTAAACAGTGAATTGAAACCTCGCATTGTAAAATTCATGTTAAAATGGCTTAGTTGCAGAAGTTGCCCATTTCCACTAAATTTACAGTTTGATTGCTTTAGTTTGAATTGTGCAATTCACTTTCCATTTCATCACAATTCGTTGTTTAGTGAATAAACCTTATATCAAACCTAACCTCCGAAATTTTCTTATGAATTTAAAATGTGGTCGTCAGCCAGTCTTTGGTTAGAAATATGTATATTGCTTAGAATGATGTGAGTTGAACTTAAGCAAAAAACTATGGGGAAACTGCAGCACAGCAAGCTATACTGCAGCAGAATAAACAATACCTTATGCTCAGATCTTTGTCTTGATCTCTCATTCATGAGACTCCTATAGTGTACATTTTGGTTATTCTGGCAGAATAAATACTTTTCTAATTGAATTTGGGATTAAGTGATTTCTGGCACAACAGTTGTGACTGCTTTTTCCAGTTTACTGAATCCGCTGTTTCCAAAATTGTTAGATTTGAATTTGACCTGACCCCTTGTTATGGTTTTTATAAAATGCGTTTGTCAATAAGTACTGTCAGACTTTGCCAATTCCTTATTAGGGAGAATAAATCTCACGATAGTGATCAATTGCTTTTTAGTAGGCCAATACAAAAATACATTGGGGACAAAATGTAAACAAGTAGCCAAGAATGCATAAGCCACTTAGAATTTCTTTTATTTTTTATTTTTATTTTTTATATCTGCATGGTACCATAAAGCTACAAGTTGTGTGATAAGGAGACCTCAGTAGGCTTGAAAGCTTGCACTATTGGTGTGAAAATGTTGTCATGATATGTTAGTCCATTAATGTAGATGCTAATTAATAAAGTATTGTATATTCTTGTAATGCCTTTTTTATTGCACCAACTTAACTTTGTAGTGATCAGCTTCCAGGGTTTCTCCCTTTATCAAGTCGAAAGCTTTTTGACCACAGTGAAACAAACTAAGAAAGCTGCAATGCAGAGGTTAAAGGGACACTATAGTCACCTGAACAACTTTAGCTTAATGAAGCTGTTTTGGTGTATAGAACATGCCCCTGCAGCCTCAGTGCTCAACCCTCTGCCATTTAGGAGTTAAATCCCTTTGTTTATGAACCCTAGTCACACCTCCCTGCATGTGACTTGCACAGCCTTCCATAAACACTTCCTGTAAAGAGAGCCCTATTTAGGCTTTCTTTATTGCAAGTTCTGTTTAATTAAGATTTTCTTATCCCCTGCTATGTTAATAGCTTGCTAGACCCTGCAAGAGCCTCCTGTATGTGATTAAAGTTCAATTTAGAGATTGAGATACAATTTATTTAAGGTAAATTACATCTGTTTGAAAGTGAAACCAGTTTTGTTTTTTGTTTTTTTCATGCAGGCTCTGTCAGTCATAGCCAGGGGAGGTGTGGCTAGGGCTGCATAAACAGAAACAAAGTGATTTAACTCCTAAATGACAGTGAATTGAGCAGTGAAATTGCAGGGGAATGATCTATACCAGGGGTAGGCAACCTTTTAGCAGCACTGTGCCGATAGAGAATGGTGATGTCCTGTAGCATGCCGGTCCTATTTTTTTTAAATTGAGGTGTGTATGCTGCCGTATTCTGCTTGTGTTATTTTTATTGCAGTTGCTTTGTATTGTTGTATTTGTGCGTGTATAAGCTATTATATTGTATATGTTCATTAGTAGTTCATGGTATTGTGTATGATACATATGAATGTGGGCGGTGTATGAGGGCTGCTTGTGGAATTGTGTGTGGATGGATATGTCACATTGTGTGTTTGGTAGTGTGTGTGGGGGCTGTTTGGGGTATTGCATTGAGAGGCTGCATATGGGGTTGTGTGCGTGTATGTGGACTTTTAGTGGGTTATGTTTGTGCGGATTGTCTGTATGTTTGTGTGTGTGGGGGCTGTTCATATTATTTGTATGAGGGGAGGGTTATTCTGCTTTTCTGTGTATATCTTGCAGTGTGTGTAGCTTCCCTGGGTTCCAGTGGGGACCAGGCTGGCCAGATACAGGTCAAGGACAGGAGCTGCAACAGCAGCTGCGGGCTGCTCTACTACAGTGTGGATTCCCATTCACAAGTGCTGGGATCACTTCCTCTATGTATTGCAATGCTTAAATTGAGGATTGTCCTTCACCACCTCTTCGTATTAGCAGATATCTGATGTTTTACTGGGACTCCTGATAGGCCAGAGCTTGTTTTGCTCTAGCAGCCTGGAGTGCCGTGCAAATACACCTTGAGTGCCGTGCATGGCACTAGTGCCGTAGGTTGCCTACCCCTGGTCTATACACTACACTAAAACTGCTTTATTTAGCTAAAGTAATTTAGGTGACTATAGTGTTCCTTTAAAGCACCAATACGAAACCATCTCATAATGTTGGGTGTTCTGAATAATTTAATTAACTAAAGAAGTGTTGCTAAGCTTTTTGTTTTAGTACAAAAACCTTTTTGTGCATATTCACAAAATAATTTTCCAAAATTTAGTAAGCAACAGGTGGCACACTAATGCCCCATTTCCACTGAGCAGTTCGGTACGGTCTGGTACGAATATTTTGAGTGTTTCCATTATGAAAGTGGCCCATACAACCCAACCGAATCAAACCGCACCATTCCTGGGCCCCCTTCAGTTGTAGGTCCATAGGAAATGGTACGGTATGGTTAGGGCAGAGCTACTGACGTCACACTATACAATCCATTGATTGGCGGACAGGAAAACGTCAATGCTCACGACAAATGACACTCTAGGCATTTGGTGTAAAGCCCGCATGCTCCCTGGCACTCCGACTTGCAGTGGAAACGCTGGACCCTTCTAACCCTTCCAAACCGTACCGACCCGAACTATACCACTCAGTGGAAACGAGGCATATGTTGTCCTCCATTGTAATATGATATAGAGAAACGTGTCGTGTGGTGGTGGGTGTTGGGATTGCAGTCTAACACAACCTTTGCATGGTGTTTTTTAGATATATATTTTTTTCTGCATGTATCCTGCATCCCTAGATTGCTGCAAACATAATTTGGGCTAATGCACTGAAAACTGATTTGTCGTGACTTGATAACTGATACATAAAATTAAAGCTAAATAAACTATCTGTAAAAAAAATACCAGAGTTTGGATAAAAAAAAAATAAAAAAAAAAATTCCAGATCTTCCATTTTTACTCATTAATTACACTACAATTCACTTTTTAGTGGAAAAAAAAAAAAGTTGTGCAATTCACTGTTTAGTAAACAGGTTAGAGATGGATTGGTGAGAACATGATTAGAGCTCATTTTAGACCTAAATAGCTTTGCTGTAAACTGTATATATTTTAGCATAACTTTATCCATTTCTACCAGGTCTGCATTCCTGTTTCACTTGTACATGAAGGTCCCTTAGTGATTTGCGCATGCGTGTGCTTGCCATTCACAATATGGCCGCTCTAAAAGCCCCTTGTGTCAATCACGTCATTCCGATTTGTGCGTTGGTTGGCCTATTACAGGAAACACCTTCTTGGTTGAGCGCTGTAAATGGAACCTTGCTGGTGCAGTGTAGAGTACGCATGTGTTTGCCCTAATCAAACATGGCTGCCACGGATGCTTGGCCATCCCAGCGTGGCTTTGCTGCAGTAATTCACAGTGCGCATGCGCAGCAGTGTGGGCGTAGTTGTTGTGGGACCGGTGTTCTATATGTGATCCATGTGTGGGGTGACCTCTTAGCAAAGTGGACATCTGGGACACCAGAGAGCTGGCTGAGCATCAGCTGCGGTAGGAGGCTCCATGTATTATGCTTTATTATGTTTTTTACTGATATTAAAATAGTGTTTTATAAATATTTTGTTACAGGGAAATCAAGTCTGGCTACAGTAATTAAGCAATGTCAGTACCCATGGAGGGCAGAGACTGGGTTTATATGCCAGGCCTGAACCACAGAGTGTATCACAGGACATTCATTGAATTACTCATTTGTGTTTCTTTCTGTAGTTAAATATTTCTATGCTAGCTTTATCTGTCAATCTGTCCTAAGGTAAACCCACATCTTGTAGGTCAAGTCATCTTGATTCCACATTAGTAGGAAGTGTTGCAATATAAATCATAACATCTTGTGTCATTATTATTTTGCTTAGGAACAGTGTAAAAAATATATATTATATACATACAGTATGTGTAATACTATACATGCAGTATGTGTAATGGCATCATCCCTTTAATGTGGTTGTGGATTGAAGCATACTAGCCAGTAACCCACCACAACAATATCTTAGAATTCACAAAGGTAAATGTGTGTTTACTGAATCTTAACTCAGTGTGTCATAATATAAAGATATTTGTCTAATGCTGGTTTGGGTTAAATAGTTACTTTCCATTTTCATTACATATGCATGGGAAAGAGGTAATTTTAGCTGTGTGTGTGTGTTTATCTTGCTTGAGCACTGCTAAGAGTGATGCTGCGAAGTATTGAAAACTGCATTTACAACATCTGTTGTAATATTGTCAATATTTTATGCTTTTAAAATACAGATTGTATCAATACAGTGGCCTGGTAGTCTGATTTGCAAGTGTATTACTTTAATCCTACTAATGGTTATGCTTTGACTCATAACCCAAAATGTCACACCTAGTTGCCTGTTTACTATTGTATGTTCCAGGGCAAGATAATACTAGTAATTATTCAAAATAACAAATGTGATAATAGACTTGGTAGTTATTATGTTAACATGTTTATATTAAAATGATCCTGTGTGTATTAAGGCACTTCTATTTATTTTTAGCTCTACAGGTTAAATTGTTATGACCAAGTCAAAACCTCCCACACATTTTTTTTTATTTTTTTGGGGTGGGGGGGTGGGTGAAGGTTGGTTTCTCCTCAGTGTGTAAATAAATACAATTATTTACCCTAACACAAAGTTTTTAAGCTATAGGAGTCTCCTGGAATAGTCCACAGAGTATCCTTCATGGCATTGTCCTCAGTTTGGAAGAGGATTTATGGGATTATGGTTGCTTTGGTAATTGTGTGGCTCTATACACTTTTGATGTTTGTTTTTGTCTCGGTGTCCCTAGAGCATTAATGTTTATTTTACATATATCTATTTGCAAACACTTTTTTCAATGTCTTCTTAAAAATGACTGCCTTATATGATTGACAGACAATATTAATTTGTCGTGTAGACTCTAATTTGTTCTTTTGGAATCTACAAGAAATTATTCTGAATATAAAGTGCATGTTTCACCACTCATGCTTAGAGAGTAGTTTGAAAGCTATTACAACTGTATCAGCAAATTTATCATCATTAGTTGTTGCTGCCTTTTGATAACCTGTCTTGTATAGTGACATTCTTCCCCTTTTCCATTTATTTAGGTTAGTCACCATGCCTGGATCCCTACCTGCCGCGGGTGAAGCCTCATGGCCTAAAGATGTTGGAATTGTTGCCTTAGAGATCTACTTCCCGGCACAGTATGTCAACCAGGAGGAGCTTGAGAAATTTGATGGTGCCAGTGCAGGAAAATATACCATTGGTCTTGGCCAATCTAAAATGGGCTTCTGTTCCGATAGAGAGGATATCAACTCTCTGTGTCTGACTGTTGTCCAGAAGCTAATGGAGAGGAACAATCTGTCATATGACAGCATTGGCAGGTTAGAAGTGGGAACAGAAACAATCATTGACAAGTCTAAGTCGGTAAAGACTGTTCTGATGCAACTTTTTGAAGACTCTGGAAACACAGACGTTGAAGGCATTGACACAACAAATGCGTGCTATGGAGGCACTGCCGCTCTCTTTAATGCTGTTAATTGGGTGGAATCAAGCTCCTGGGATGGTATGTTATACATATATTGATATACAAACATGGTTATTCACTGCAGTGAGAATTCAGGGTGAATTAAAAATAAATTTTAGGTTTTAGGTCAAAATAGCTGAAATGTTACATTTCTCCCGTTCAGCTACTTTAAAAACTCACTTTGAATTCCCACTTTAGTAAATGACCCTAAAAAATGTAGCAATTTGTTTGTTTGGTTTTTTACAAATATAATGAAATACAAGTGAATCCGCGCTGACTAGTATTGTATTTGCTTCGCTGGACTTTACAAACGTGTTGTTAATAGAAAACTGAAGCAACACGTGATGGGTTTCACAGCCTGCTCATTTGTAAATCATGTCAAGTGATTCTGTGAGAGATGTTCTTTGCTTTGTAAATAGAAAAAAAAAAAAAAAAAGGTTTAATCAGGGCTAGCCAAAGGCTACAAAAGCTTAAACTAAGGATCTGCTATTCTCAGTATCTGTCAAACTATATATTTCTACAGAGAGGGCCTTAAAACAGTAAAATGGGTATGACTATGCAAATCCTTTCCTGTCTAGCATGTGATTTATAATTCAGCACTTCAATCATCTGATGCTGTGCCAGTAGAGAGAGTGTATACATCCTGAAAGAACAAGGTGTACCAGTTCTAGACGGTGAAGAGGATTTTTTTTATTTATTTTCTTGGTTCATTTTCCAGTTGCTTGTACATATTTCTTAACCAGAATATGGCATATGCAGAAACCAGCGGTTTTTTTTGTTTTGTTTTTTAACAACAATGGTGTTTTTAAATCATTGACTCAGTGTATGCCTCCCTCAAGGAGGAAACCCCAATGCTGACTTTTCTTTTCTGCTGTTTTCATAATTGTTGTTTTGTCGTGTGAAGAGAGATGTATTGCTTTTACCACAGACTATTAAAACAAATATGCTTGAGTCTGTCCATTTTATTCATTTAAATGCACGCAAACGTTGTCATGCATTTCCTCTCTGCCTTTGATGTGACTGGATGATTAATTTGAATGCCATGTGACATTGTAGTATTTATTTCCAACATGTGTCAAAATATTACGCAACATTAAACTTGTCTGGTTAATTCATACATTTATTCCTCTCTTACAGATCATTGTGAAATTGAAGGAATGAGTGGTTTGTGTAATACAAATATTTTTGTTTTCTGCAGGACGCTATGCCTTGGTCGTTGCTGGAGACATCGCTGTGTATGCCACTGGTAGTGCCAGACCAACTGGAGGTGCAGGAGCTGTCGCCATGCTTGTGGGACCAAATGCATGTCTTGTTTTAGAAAGAGGTCTGTTGCCTTTTCTTATTTTTAAAGGAATTTGTTCAAGATAACCCCATAATTGTGAAAAATTCTCTTTAGAGTTTCCTGTGGTAAGCGCATAGCTGAGACCAAAAACCTTATCGGTTTGTTTCACGGAGTAACCCTGTAAGTAAAAATGATCAATAAGAAGTATTGACAAGGGAAGTACAAATCCTGGCTAAAATGACCTAACTGATAAAAACAAATTTGTCAATCCGCCACAGTTCCAAGCTAGTTATAACCCCACTGGTGGCGTTCTGAAGGTTTATCATCTCAGAAAGTGAGATGTAAAATTGTCTTGTGGTTTTTATTTCATACTGAATACATGTTAGAATACATGTTACATGTAAGATCTCACTTTTTTATGGAGTGTCCATATATTTTGTGACTGTAAGGTTGAGATTTGAACCGTTGTTAACCAATGTTAATTGTGCATTTTAGTACGCTAATAGTTAACATCTGATCCTGTGACTGTTGCGAATTACATTTCCGTTGACACACAACTAGTCGTGTGTCTGGTTTAGCTTCATGGACAGTGTAGTCTATATAAAACCTTTTATTAACCCTTCATAACTATAGATGTACGTTATTTTTCAGGGCTACGTGGGACACACATGCAACATGCATATGATTTCTACAAACCCGACATGGTGTCTGAATACCCTGTTGTGGATGGGAAGCTATCTATTGAGTGCTATCTCAGTGCACTGGATCGCTGCTACGCTACCTATCGCAAGAAAATCCATGCTCAATGGCAGAAAGGTTGGCCTCTTACTTTGTTTGGATCACTCCATACTTTACTTTTACACAGATGTTAAATGTGAAGATGAAAGCATTCAACAGCTGTCGTTCACTGGTCTCCTGCTATGCTATCATTATACAGTCCCAAATTAGTCACTACTACACCCTGTTTACAGGAAACAAACTCGTCCTCTTGATGAAATTTGCATCTTTCATGAAACCACTGCAAATAGCTACTATTGCCTGTCTGCTGAAATCTTTATTTTTAAATGCTGACCATTCGATGTATCATAGGACACCTGCTGGTGAATGATACCAAATTTCAATATATAGTGGCTGACTATAACTTATAGAGCAGTCATGTTGTGCTTTGTAATTGCTGGTCTTTTTCTTTCTAGTAGCGCATTCTCGATTTAGACTAATTGAGACAGGCACATTCAAATGTGATGGACCTATATGCCTGTCTCTTTGCATCTAAAAAAGGATCATTGCTTGCAGCAGACGATGCAAAATACAAAGATCAAGAATAACTAACAAATACAGGAGACCATATTTAATTTATTTTAATTGGTGAGTTCTACCCAAACATGGGTGGAATTGATCTCACTAGTGCAAAAGAGTAACTTCCACTAAAGCGATCTCTCTGAGAGTCCAGACTGCAGATGCCAGGGGGCCTACGGTTGGTGTCAAACCAGTTAAAAACGGTTTGACAGATGAATGTAGGAAGGTGCTTGTAGTTTCTTTAACTACATGGACACCCACATTAAAATATTATCGAGGCATTTTCCATGGTAGATAAACGCAGGCTGTGAAAAGTAACTTGGCTAACTGCAAAACTCTGGTTAATGATAATGGACGTATACGTTTGTCAAATAATCGAGAGCTGCAGTTCAGGTAAAACAAGTTTATTATTCTCTCCATTATAGTTATTTGGATTTGAGGATAATTGTAACCAATTATAAATTTGAAATTTATTTGCTAATTTTATAAAAGTTGTATCTTCTTAGCATGCAAATTTAAGAAGGAATAGAATAGTATAATGTATTGTGTGTGTGTGGTTTACTGTGAATTTTTATTTTTAGAGGGAAATGACAGACCCTTCACTCTGAATGACTTTGGTTACATGGTTTTCCACTCTCCATACTGCAAGCTTGTCCAGAAATCATTGGCACGCTTATTATTAAATGATTTTATTAGCGACCCGAATCCAAACACAGAGAGTGGGGTGTACGTCGGCCTGGATTCCTTCCGGTAAGAATTATGGTATAGTTTTTTTTTATATATATATATATATATATATATATATATATATATATATATATATATATATATATATATATATATATATATATATATATATATATATATATTACACTAGTTGTATGATACAAGCAATTAAGGAATACAAATTAATTGGCTGTAATCTCTGGAACACTATAATTACATGTTTGTGAATATTACAAATTGTTTTGTTCTGCAGAGGTGTAAAGTTGGAAGACACATACTTTGACAGAGATGTTGAAAAGGGCTTCTTAAAGGCAAGCACAGAACTATTCAATGACAAAACAAAAGCATCTCTTCTTGTGTCCAGGGAAAACGGCAATATGTACACCCCTTCTGTGTATGGATGCCTTGCCTCTGTGCTCGCACAGTAAGTTTGGCTTTGTACTTTAACGATGTGTGATCATACAGGTCTAGTATGGTCCATTAGTGTTTTCTACTCCATTACAAAAAGATTTTTTTAATATAAATTATGTTAATTCATAGAGCATCTTTGCTCTGCTAACATTTTCTATAAATATCCATCTGTTTTTGCTAAGGTGTTAATCTCAGAGGTGAGAAAGGGGGAATTGGTGGGATTGACTGAGGTGTTCCCTTGAGTTACATATCTGGACTTCATAAGAGAAGTTCTCAAAAGGCCAATGGCGTGACAGTGAAAAGGTGATTGCGTGGTTTATCTGTGTGCTGAAGTCACCAGAAAAATGCTGATTTATAGTTGGAGCAGTTAGGAGCTGCCCCCATGCAAGTATTTCCACAGGACAGCATGCCTCAGAAAGCATGTTATGCACTAACAAATACAGATGTATTTGTGTGCTCAAAGCTTTCCTCTCCTTAACCGCAGCTTTGAAAGTGAGGGATCACTCAGTCTCTCCCTCCTATGTCCCCCTGGTTCTTTAAGTCTTGCTTCACTCACTGGTATGAAAAAGGCTTGGGTGTAAGTTTGGATACGGACTGAAAAAATAGAATCTCCAGATGATTATATTTGAAGAACTGCCTATGTATATAATATGAAAGTCATGAAATAGCTTGTAGTATGTTCATTAATGAAGTAGAGCTTCTTATGTTCTTAGCAGTATAGAGATCCATTTTGCATAAACAAACGCAAAAATCATCCTGCAGTGAAAAAAAAATAAATAGAACATTGGTCCCTTATGGGTTAAGTGCCATTTGTTTAAAAGGCACATAGGCTATAGTGCAGCACCGATATGAGCAGGGAATCTATTTTGAACTGTGTAATGATCTCAACATTGGTTAAGTGTTTCTCTTTTTAATACAAATGTGTTTCACCTCAGATACTCTTCCCAGCAATTGGCAGGACAGAGGATTGGAGTATTTTCCTATGGATCTGGCTTTGCTGCTACATTGTACTCCATTAAAGTTAGCCAAGATGCTATGCCTGGTAAGTTTTGACTCCTTAACAAGTCTGTAATGACCAGCTGGGCTGCATGTTTTTATTTGGGGAGTTTCATGATTCATGCAAATACAATTGATGTTTAAGGGACACTGTAGGTACCCAGACCCCTTCAGCCCATTGAAGTGGTCTGGGTGCCAACTCCCATCACCCTTAACTCTGAGCATGTTATTATTGCAGTTTGTATAAACTGCAATAATTATCTTGCAGGGTTAAGTCCTCTAGTTGCTGTGTACTAGACAGCCACTAGAGGGACTTCTGGGCTCTTAGACGAATTTTGGTCTCCTAAACGACGCTGGACGTCCTCACGCTATGTATGAGGACTTAGTGTCACCGGAATCCCCATAGGAAAGGGAGATGCAAGTTCGGCCATTGCTGCGCATGGGCATTAGGTCTCCCCCGCTGCCAGCCAGCAGCGGGGAAGGTGCATGGGCAGAGCTAAGCCAGCGCAGAGGGACATTGGCGCTGGACCCAGGTAAGTGACTGAAGGGGTTATTCATCTGTTAATAGCCAGTGTTCAACTTTTCCCGTAGTCCCTCCAATATATATATATTTTATTCTAGAAATTGTGTAACATCAAGCAGAATAGGGTACAATAGGGGCTCATTTCCAGTAATGTGTTACAATAGGTGCATGTAGGTCCGCAGACACAGATAATCCCAAATTATCCACAGAAAAATGATGTATACGAAAAGAGTGCACATTTATTAAAGTATGCATATTGAAAAATCATGGTGTCATACAGTCACAGCAGCCTTCATAGATGCTAAAGGTAGTACAGGCATATCATGCCAAACTCATTTCTGGTGTTATTTGCACGTTTAGCTCTGTTTTGATTTTGGTGTGTGCAAGACTTTTATTTTTTTATTTTACACATCTCTTTCCTTATTTATTTATTATTTTTGTAATTGTCCTTTTATACTGAAATAATCCACTTGATTCCCTTTGAAATCCACACCTGTTTAGTCTGCTGCAAATTCAACTTCCTACATTGAGACTGCAGCAACAACCATGCATGTTAAATACTCTATGTGAAAGCCAACAGAAAAATCCATATGTGTCGTAATAGAACAGATGTTTCAAAGCAGATCTGCTCTTACAATAAGAAACATTCACTTTATGTATACCCTTTATTTGTTCAATGTTTCAGAATGTTATTTATTCTATCAGTGGAGTGTTTAAAATATGTAGAGTTCTATTTTGAAGTTTTTTTTGTTTTTTTTAATCTTTTTTCTTTACTAGTAACACCTATATAGATATTGCTCAGAGACATTTTAAACACACTTTGCCATGCAGACCATGAGTGCTGTTTTCTTTTTTTTTTTTTTTATAATTTGCTCTATGTTGAATGACTAATCTGTAGTTTAGCATGTCTTGTGAAAACTACGACAGATACTAGGTGAGATACAATTGATGTAACTACGCTGCATCCACTGTCTGAATTAGATGGTGGTGCTAATAACTATTCATGGGGCTAGTTCAGTTCCATAGATGGTAATTGTCATGCTGCAACAGTACTCTGTTACTTTATGCGTATAATTCTACCAAAATTGGTCCACACACCTAAATAATACACTAGCAGGCATGGTTGTCCCAACAGTTCATACATCACAATCTCCTGTGTATGTGTTGCCATGTGAAGTGCTGACAAGTATGTCATTTTTGGTTTTCCTCTCCTTTCAATCTGTTACTAGGTTCATCTCTGGATAAGCTAACCGCAAGTCTGGCAGACCTAAAGGCACGGCTTGACTCCAGAAAAAGTGTTACACCCAGTATTTTTGCAGAAAACATGAAGCTAAGGGAAGACACACATCATTTAGGTATTACGGGGTTTGGTGAAAGCGTTCATAGATCATGCTATCTGCTCAAAGTCACATCTTGTCGATGGAGTTAACTTTATTAATGATTGCTGTCTAAATTATAAAAGGACAATGTATGCTGGCACTGGTCTGCTTGGGATGAAGACAAACATGTAAAAATATAGTTTGAAAGCATTCAGGTATATTCTTGCTAGGGTAGCCTTTTTATGCTTCAGAAGATGAGTCAAAACCATGCAGTAACATGCCAGCAATTAAAACCTGCCTGACTATTAAAGTAATGGTTTGGTTTTGCAATACATGACAAATCAGTGTTAACGTCTTTTTTGGCTTTTCTCTCGCAGCCAGTTATATTCCTCAGGGATCAGTGGATGACCTATTTGCAGGCACATGGTACCTGATCCGTGTGGATGAGAAGCACAGAAGGTACTATGCTCGGACTTCCTTGATGAATGATGGGCCTATGGCTGCAGTCCTGGAATCCATTCATTCAACCAATACTAATGAGGTATATATCTAATACCTTAACATACACCACACAGATTTGTCCTACTGTATTAAAAACCTTTTTAACATCTGCTTCAGATTTATTTATTTTTTGGTGTAAATTCCTCTTTCATCACAATACAAATCTACTTATGGCTGAAGAAGGGTTGTGTTTTTTTTTGTTTTTGTTTTTTTGTGGTGTTTTTTTTTTTTTGTTTTGTTTTTTTAAAGCTAAGCCCCATAACTACTACAACACATTATAGTAGCTATGGTGCTGTAAGTCCATAGGCTCTATCTCCCAGTTTTCAGTTTTGGAGTGTCTGTAGCCTTCTGTCTTTGGCTGCACCGATTACGTGACAATTACACTTCCATATTGTCAAGTGGAAGTCCATCCAGTATGGAAGGCATGGTTACGATACTTAGAGCTCCACTTTAATCATGTGGGATTTTTCTAATAATGCAGTGATGTCAGTACGACACAAATAAACTCCTATTTAAGCCATTCTTTGGCAACCATACCTTAAAATAATTATGGAAATTTGTTAAACAACATCTGGGGAAAGGTGTGGGCTGTGACTTTATCTCCCCTCACCCCCATAGTAAAGTCTCTCCATGTACTTAACTAAATTAGAACAAAATAGATTCTTACATTTATAATACTAAAGTCAAACCCTCTATCTAAATGTGCAGGTATATTTTGATCAACAGTTTGTAACGATTTTTATGCATCTTCATAGCTGTGTGTGTTGTAGTATGTTACTTGTCTATTCCAAATGTATATTGCACCTAAATTAATAGATACATTTTTTTTTGTCTCCCCAGCACTTTCCAAGTCCGGCCAAGAAAGTCCCAAGAATCCCGACATCTTCAGAAGCTGAACCTATCTCTATAAGCAATGGAGAACACTGACCTACCTCTAGAAGTGCGAAGCACTGCTCATTGACATCCACTCGTTCAGTACAGCATTTCAACTATAAGAATTTTTATTTAAATAAGTGCAGCACTAAGTAATCTGTAACAGTTATAGAACAGGATTGACATGTAAATATAAATGGCTATAGGGTCCCAGTTGCATCTGTCTGCATTTGTTCTGAAAAGGGACAGTGAGGTATATTAGCTTGTTTTAATTGCAAGGACTCACTGTTTACATTATTTTCTCGTGTCAGTAAAGATGTTTGGTAGTCCATTACCAACATTTACTTTGCTGTGCTTAAATAACTCTGTAAGTTGGATTGTATCTTGTCAGCATTCCACCGCAGAGGCGGCCGCATGAATGCCTCTGACTTGTACTTGTGAAAGCACCTTATGGTCTGAGGTGAGGGGGTGGGGGGGGGGCTGGAGATCTGTTTGTTTGCTTTTTTTTACAAACCAGAAAGTGTACAGGATTTTGTAGATCATCAATCGGATGCAAACCTTGTAACTCACACTGTATTTATTTCTTTATGACATGATTGCCTTGATCCGTGTGCAAATCTGATGGATTGGTGTGTACAGAGTTATTGGAATTCACCATCCTAAAGCTTTTAAGATCACATTGGTGCTATGTTTATGGGCATAGGCCCAAATTGCTTGTAAAAATGTAGAGTCCTGTAGATTTTCTATATAATTTTGTTTTTGTAATCTGATCTGTGTAAAATGCATATAAATATTAAAAAAAATGTAATTAAGTGAATTTTAGACAACCGTTTAATTTGCTATGGGCTGATAACTTAAAACAACCCATATTGCATACATAAGTCTGTCATAAGAAGTACCTGTATAATTGGGTACAACATTGTTACTTTAACCTCTTAAGGAAACGAGTTAGAATGCTTTTATGTCATGACATGCCTGGCATATCAGTGGTCATTAAGGGGTTAACTTGCAATTTAATTGTACTTCAGTTGTGTACTTGACCTGTTTTTGTATAATATATGAGCTGTCTTCTTCCCGTGTTTAAAACGATTTCATGTGCAGTACACAAGTGTAATGTTATAAAGGCAATTGATGGTCACATGAGAGGTGAATGAACATAGAACAAAACTGTTATGTGACTTCTTCTCATGTGAAGAAATAAAGATCGTTGCAAATAATAAAACAACTTTAAAAATGTTTGGCGTTTTTTTGTTTAAAAAAATTGTTTCCTTGAGGAACGTTGGGGAAATTTTTCTTCAAGGTTGTTTCGAGGGAATTTTTATTTTATTTTTTTAATAGACTTCAAATGCAGCGAATTGAAATCTGACATGCAAATCGTAGACTAAAGCATAGTTGGGGAATTTTAAGAATTGCATTCGTTTGTGAAACAGGAACATCCGCTGAACACAAAACACATTACATTTCATGTGACCAAATAATCAGACTAATATTTAGCCTGAGATTGCCCCATGCAGCTACTGTTAACCATGTGTGATTGAGAAAATAATGCAATAGTGACAGGCTGTATAATAAAATAATTTATGCAACATTACCATTCGAGAAAAAAATTATCACAAGGCGTTCAATACAAATCCCATAGAAAAACGGCACACCTCATTACTGTGGGCATTTTCCAAGCAGTGCAGAAAACTTTGTCTATATAGGTGAAATGCAAAAATAACACAATACACTATTTTAAATATTTAACATTGTATAATAACCACACGCGATCATGATCATGCAAAAACATTAAAAACAACAGTACTAAAAGTGGAAGTTTAAATTCATGTGTTAATAGATATATGCACACTTTATATACATTAGTGTCCATAAAAGTATGAATCTGATCCACAGTGCAAAACATCCATTTATTAACCTTTGTAATCCAGACTGTGATGATCATCAATGAGAGAACTTGTATATTTTTTTTTTTTTAGATATCCTTTGCACTTTCCACCTACCCTCTCTGCTGTTGAGGTCATAATGAAGAGGTTTCACTTCCTTGTCATCTGTCCATATATTCTAAAGTGAGCACTGGAGAATAGGTTTCACAACAGTGAATCTCCGCTGTCCTCTATGCACACCGAATTGGCACAGCAAATGCATGCTTGTCTAATATAATTTATCTGGACAGGTAGTGAAGTGAAACAACAGCAGAGTTTGATGAAGAATTATCCAGGTTTTGTCAAACCACTTGAAAAATGTTCGATAATAAAACCAAGGGACTGCAGTGATTCCACGGCCATCTAGCACCATAGCCAGTACAATATTCTATAGTGGTATATGTTAATATACCTATACAGTATGTTTATATGGCCTTCCTCCTTTAGAAATCAACAATGTGTTCTGGGTACAAAATTAAAGATGGTAATAAAGGTAAATTAATACACAACTGTTATTTCCATCCGCACACGTTTAGAATGATTACTGCCAGATGTAACAAATGCTATAACTGTCCTAAAAGGGGGGGAGGAGGGGGTGAATGTAACTGCTGTATTCCACAAGATATATAAATTAATTCTCAAACTTTGGACTTGTCTGACTCCTTCATTGCACAAGATTAGCAAACAACCTTACCCTTGGCATTATATATATAATATACAAGAAAAATCACATTGTGAAAATAAAGTTACAGTTGTGCTTTTTATGTGTATAAAGCCTATTTAAAACTCTTTATAAACACACTTTTTACAAATAAAACCAAAATAAGATTCTCAGTGTTTGTAATAGCATCCCCGGTTAAAGTGTACTGTGTACCTAAAATAATTTATCTTCCCCATGCAAAAGTTAAATGATTAATAAAAAAAATTGAAAACTAAAAATGTTTACAATTATTTTTAACAGTATTTTAACCTTCAAAGTGATCTTCCCATCTCTGTCTCCTTCAGTCTATTATTGAATAGGCATGTGAAACTTTTTGCACAAAATGTCCAATCTGACATTAGCCTATTCTAAGAGTGTCCATTCGAGGGACAGGACTCTGTATGACCCCAAGCCTTCATTGCGTTGCCCTGTTTTTAAATAGAATCCAGCCTACCAGTTAAAGATTTAGAGCCTAAACAAAAACATACACCAAGCAGTGTCCTTGGGCACTTTCACTGAGCATATATATATATATATATATATATATATAATGTGTGTGTGTATGTGTATATATATATATATTGTGTGTGTGTGTGTGTGTATGTGTATATATATATATTGTGTGTGTATGTGTATATATATATATATATATATAATGTGTGTGTGTATGTGTGTATATGTATATATATATATATAGTGTGTGTGTGTGTGTGTGTGTGTGTGTGTGTATATATATATAAATTTCAATCAAACATTACTTTTCACTGCTGGAAAAACAAAATCTGTATTGCTAAACAAAAGGGCAGTGTCTAAAATTCTTGCATCACAGGACAGATGGACTTCAGGTTTCCCCTATCAGGCTCAGCTTCTCCACTTGAGCTTTAACCTCTTCAGTACCGAAAGTGCCTGCAATGCATTGCAAAGCATAGTCATTAATATTATGCAATGTTAGCACAGATCAATTCTAAGGCGGCCAACTAGCTACTACTCTAGCATATGAATAATGCTTATACATAGCCAGCTTCTAGACTACAATGTTAACAGGTCTCACACAGTAAAACAAATCCATGTTACTGAGACAGTTTATGTAAAAGGAAAATTAAAAGTTCAAACCCAGCTTGTGCTTGCAACATATACATGCTAAAAAAAAACTGAAATTTGGTTCCTTAACTGCACATCACTCAAATGATTTTTGAATAACTAAGCGAATCGCTACCTAACTCATCAATGTCACATTTGTCACATCTGCGGGAAAAATCAATTCTCTAAATTATCTCGCCTTCATTTTAACTGATTCTGTAACTGAACTCAGACGGGGACACATGGGCAGCTTGGGTCCTCTGCAAATCAATGCCAAGTATATTTAGAATGCTGCAGGTTTAAATTGAAAACAATAGCAGTAAATTATAGGAAGATTTATAGAGAGATATCTAATTAGACAAAGAAAAGATCACTCAGTGGGTTTTCAGTAATTATTTTAAACAATTTCAAGTTTAGCCCTGGAGAGTATAAATTCTATCTATGTGTCATGGACCCTCCAGGCTTGCACTGGTGAGTTACTTTTAAGGCCTGGCTAGTGCTGTTTTGAAATTACGAGCCCTGCTATAAAACATACACAACTATTTATTGGGAAAAATAATGGCATCCTTGATTTCTGGCAACATTTGTAAAACACTAGACTAGATCTTTGGTCTTGTGGTTTATCATGATGTGCAGAATCCCTCAATTGAATTTATTTCCCATGATACATACATTACCATTATTTATCCTCTGTATTATAAAACACCATTTGCAAGGTATTCAGTGATGTCAAATATGGTAATCACCACCATTGTGAAGGCAAAGTAAAATCCTAAAAGAGTACTGATCCAATAATATGGAAATTCCAAATCAAGTGTCATGTTGGTGCAGACATATCTAAACAGCGGAGCAAACCTCTACATAGATCACAATTTAATATTTCATATAGAAATTTAAAGTTAACTGATAAATCAGAAAGTGCCACAATAGCCATAATTTTTCAGGACATTTGAAAATGAGAGAAATCTCAATGTATCCTTCCTGGTAAAACTATTTTATAAATAAATTCACTTTTTTTTCTCCTAAAAGGCAATGCGTTGCAGGCAACTTTCACAAACTAAGAGGTTATCAGGGATGGCAATTATATTTCATCATTATTGCTGCTGTACACTAAATGAATAACTGCACTAGCTTTATTGTCTCTGCTATATTGTGTAGTGAAAATGTCACATTTTTTTTTATACAAAATACCCGTACACGTGTGCTAATATTTGCAGTGTAGTGAAAATGCTCAGCAACTTTCTTTTTTTTTTTTTAAAGGTTAGCGAGGTTTAATTTGTTTTTAATTATAACATACAGGAGGTGAGTCAAAAGTCAGGTGATTTAAACCAAGCAACCAATCAAAAACCAGCACGCTGTTTAATGTTTGATTAATTTCATCATTACATAACACAAAGCACCTTAGGATATTTGGATGGTTGCTGACTATTTACTATTAATACTGTATATTACTTAAATATTTCATCTTTCTGTCAATCAACAGCTTGTGTTATTCCAATTCGTCCAGTGGAGTCTTTTTTACAGTGTTTGTTATAAGTTTTAATTAATTCACTATAAACCATGCAATATAAGATAATTTGTGCTTTACAACTGACACACTGATAGACAACATGTAATAAACACTCCACATTCTGCTCTTTGCCAAAAAAATATATATTTTAGAAGCGAGACTGATAATTTCTGGAACATTTAACCCCATTAAGGATGGCCCACCTATTTTTCAGGGTGCTTTTTCATGCGCGTAAGAGTTTTCCACAAAAGTGGATGTGAAAAGTTGCAAAGTATAGTGAAAAAGTCAGGGGTATATCAGAAGGACACATATTGCTTTATAATATGTCAGGAATCCCATAAGGGGTGTGTGTGCTCTAACAGAGATGACATTTGATCATGTTAACCAACTATGACTGTTTCTATAAATCTTCAAGTGGCAAGATGTTCCAATTTTGGCCTTTACTCTGATTAATACTAGGGGGAAAAATCAGACAATTTAATACAAAAAAAGGTTTGGCCAGGATACTATAGTGTGGTATAAATTTCCTAAAGTATCCTGCACTACCCAGGAATTGCATGTTTTTGATGCTCGCTTCAAGACTTCTCCAGGGCTGCACCTTTAATGTGGAACTCCCTTCCCGTCTCCGTTACACTTTTTTACCCAGTTTCCATTCCTTAAAAAAAATCATTGAAAACTCACTTCTTCAGGAAAGTGTATCAATGAAATTGTTTTCATTCCCTCCCCCCCATGACTCTTCTCCTACAACTGTCAAAAATAACCTACTAAGACCTCAGTGAATACTTTTCTAGCAATCTACTTTGTTACCCCTACTAATACCCTTTGTGTCACTATACCCCACTCCCTTTAGAATGTAAGCTCTTTGAGCAGGGCCCTCAACCCCTCTATTCCTGTGCGTCCAACTGCCTGGTTACAATTACGTGTCTGTTAGTCCACCCATTGTACAACACTACAGAAATTGCTGGCACTATATAAATAATTTAATAATAATATTTATTATTATTATTACTGAGCATAATACTAATTTAAAAATTTAGTTTGTGGAGAATTGACAAGGCCAGTTTCTTTTATATTTCAGTTACTTTGGCCTATAATTTTCAGTTCAATTCTTAGTTTGGGAAAAAAAACATCAATGTTGTAATTTATGGTGGGGAAAAAAGAAGCTATTGCCACACAATCCCATTTACTAGAAAAATTGTGAAAATGTAGAAGTAATACAGTTTCTATAGTTGCTGCTAGCACAGACACGGCTACAGCTTTTCGCAACCAGCATTATAAGAAACAGCGTGAGCTCTCTCTTGATTTGCATTTTCTTTGTGATTTATGACACCATTTACTGGCAAGGAACATAAATCTCTGGGCTAATTTAAGTTTTAACAAGGGAACTAGTACACAGTACGGTACATCCAGGGAACTAGCAGGCCACTGCAATTCACTGAGCTCTTATCAACCCAATGTCTACTTTACAAAAATACATTGTCCAACTGTTTATATATGCCAGGCCGGGAATAGTAGCAATTATATTTTTCCAGGGAAGCAATTAACAAATATACCCCTTTTACTCTGTGTTACATCCTCAGCCTCTTTGCAAGACAATATTGAGAGCTACAAAAAAAGACTTAGGACACAGGAAGCCACATACAAAAAAAATGTATAGCATAATCTGTGTAGTTTGTTCTTCAACATGAAAATGAGACTCCATGGACGACCTAATATATTCACTTTCCGAACATACCTCACAAGTGCTATATTTTCATGCGTTGCTGAAACACACATACACAGTGCTGGTCTAATGTAGGTCTAATTGCAAGTATGGGTAGCGTTAGAAATACTTAGGCCAGGGCACACACTGGGGTCTTAACAGTGGCACAAAATGTTGGTGGAGTATCACTGTACCTGATTAATTTAGAGTTGCTACCTTGACCATGATTTTCCAAATATCTATCAGGATGATTTACTATAATGGAAACTGGAAGTTGTGGGAATTAAAAGAAAATTCAAAGTAAATATCAAATTTTACACCAAAACAGCTGGCCCCGATTTTTTCTAACTAGTTTAGAATTAAATTTGAAATTGACCCATTCACTTCGAATTTATGACAATTCTCACTTTAGTAAATAACCCTATATGCGTTTCACATTCTGTTGGCAAGTACATAAATATCGCTATGTAGCTGCAAGTAGAATTCAGATGTGGCCAAATGAATTGAATGAATGCATCATGTCGGGACCTAAAGACACCATCACAATAAGTTAATGGATGCAGGAGCTGGGCCCCACTGTTCCAGGTTACCTCTAAGGGGTCCTGCTTTTTCAGAATTCAAGAAAATATTTCCATATGTGGTAAACCTTAATACACCACTGCTTCTGTGCCAATAGGCAGGGGTGTACACAGCTGTCTAAGAACCTTCCCATGACCTTGAACAACCATCCTGTTAAATTTACAAGCATAGGAATAGCCTACAGTTTCTGTAATCCCTGTACATCTCTAAGTTTCTTATGTTATCTTTTGTGGAGTATGTTTTGCCAATCATCCATTAAATATATATATTTTTTAAATGTTGTCATATTATTATTAATATGAGCAAGCAGAGAAACATGGAAATAGTTGTATACACATGCTATAAAAAGGCACTCTGACTACTGATTGAGTTTTACTTCCAACTGTTACTTTATGGCAAACCCAGTAAAATATAGACTGGAAGCCAATAGCAATAATGTACACACTGTGAGATGATTTGGTACATAATGTATTCCTTAATCTGGAATAAAATGATATGAACGGAACATCCACTTTGGAATGTATCCTTTCCATCTGAAACTCTAAATGCTTAATTAAAGCATCAATTCCAGCAATTTGGCCATGGTATTAAAAATAATAATAAAAAAAAAAGAAAAGAAAAAAAAAGCACAATTGCTAAATTGTTGAAGTGTCAGTAGTGTTTGCTAAGCCTTCAGGAGGTTCTGAAAAGGCCACCCTAGTATAGGGTATTTTACCTATGTATCGTATATTTCAATATTATAATAATAACAATAGCAAAATATAAATAGTACAATAACGTTAGATTTAAATGAACTGAAATGGTATTATAAACACACAACAGACTGGCGGCTGGATTCTCTGATTGGAAATAAGGTTATGAATGTGAAGAAATGTTCCCTGAGACGTCAGAGGGAAATTGCTGTTCAGTTGTCACAAGTAATCATAAAGAATCTAGCTCTAGAACAGGCATAGGCAACCCTTGGCGCTTCAGATGTTTTGGACTACACATCCCATGATGCTTTGCCAGCATTATGTGTGTAAAAGTATTATGGGGGATGTAGTCACAACATATGGAGTACCGAAGGTTGCCTATCCGTGCTCTAGAACCTTGTAATATCCACTTAATTGCAAGGGAGGGCGCCAGATTCCCAAATATATTTTTTCATGTTTTATCCCTTTAAGCATTTTGTTTAAGAGGAGATCAAAGAGTTTGATCAGTTTGTGATTTCTTAACTATAAGTCTTGACAGACTAGATGGTTTTTAATGCTGTCGGAGTTGTATATTGGAACCATATTTAATTAAGGATTTTGGCACTGCAAACAGCTGAGCACAGCTGGAAGTTCTCATTAAAATTAGAGAAGAGGGTGAATTTGGTCTAATTGGAAGCACTGTCATTACAATAGTACTTCTTTGTTTCGCGTAATTATCTTAAAGGAGAACTGTCACTTCTTTGGAAGTTACACCATTGAGTAAAATATTGAAAATCACTGATTGCTTGTGTCAACTTTTTTTCTTGTGACGCTCTGTTGTCTTTTAAATGTATATTTAAAATGAAGCACATTACACAACAATCTAGTTGAGGTGAGGCACATCCGGGGCTTCCTCAATGCTTACTGTTCCAAAGTGCAGAAGTTTATAACAATGACTGACATGGACTCAAAATGGAGGCTTCCAGTTGCCAGATAAAAAGTTGTATATTTCTATCATTCATTTTATTTTTGCATCTTCCAGATGCATATCTGTTAAATCGAGGCAATAAGAAAATATAATGGTAAAAATACTGGCAAATGACAGTTCCCTTTTAAGCAACAATTACCATGCTACTAGCATTAAGAAAAATAGCTATCAGAATCAGAAATGTATTCTGAAAGGCAACATGTTAGTATTAAAAAAAAATGAATCAAGCTGCTCCAAGATGCCACATTTCTAGCATCCAAGAAGAGCTTAATTTACAAAGTGAAGAACTGAAAACACAGTTATAAAATGGAACAAAATTTAGATGTATGCCTTATTTCTCGGCGTGTTCGATGAGGCCTCTTTGTGTATTTATCCTTTGGTTCTGGATTTGTTACTATGGGAACGCTTTCGATTGCCTTCTTTTTCTGCATTTTGTGAAGAACAATCCTGTAAATTCCTGTTATGGAACTCCGTGAGTCTTTTCCCCGGTTGTTAAGAATATGTTCCTCTGCAATGCCTAAAGTTTCCAAGGTAATCTTCACTTCTAATTCATCCTCATTGAGAGCACTTGCCTCCAGTAAGTGTTTTGGGTCTAATTTGAATGGTTCCAGGGGCTTTGGGTATTGTACCCCACGCATCCACTCACTGTTTACGATGTGATCAACACTGCTTCTGTCAGAAGGTATTGGCTGAAGCATCCCCTTGATCAGTTTCTGACATGGTTCAGACACATAAGGTGGGATGGTGTATGTTCCATCGAGAATGCACTTCTTTAATTTGGCCACTGTATCTGCTCGGAATGGCATGCTACCAGTCACCATGAAGTATAAAAGTATACCCAAAGCCCAAATATCCACAAAGACACCAATGTAATTTTCATCTCGGAAAAGCTCAGGTGCTGCATATGGAGGAGAACCACAGAAGGTGTTCAGTGTTTCATCTTTTTTACTGATTGTACTAAATCCAAAATCTCCAACCTTCACACACGTGTTGCTTGTGTAGAACACATTTTCGGCTTTCAGATCTCTATGTATTATTTGGTTATCATGCTAAGGGGAAGAGGAATACAACATTAGTTCATCAGCTCAAACTTTTTAGCTACGGATGAAGCAAAACAGAACAATGATTTCTGAAACATTGATAGCAAGGGTGGACTGTCTAATTTCTCTATTGGTCATCAAAATATTTTGTATAATACCCGCAATATAGTATTGTCTATTCTACGCTCCTACAACAAGATCTTTTCAAAGGCCTCGATTGAATTTTGGTATTTTCATTTTGAAACCACTTCTGGTCTGTATAGTCATTATCTTTATTGTTTAAACAGTGATGGAGATAAGATCTTACCATGTGCTTCACAGCAGAGACTATCTGCGAGAAGATAATTTTACTTTCGGATTCTGATAACTTTCCTTCAGTGTTTATTTTTGCAAAAAGCTCTCCACCTCCTGCATATTCCATCACCAGGTGCAGTTTGGACAGGGTTTCCACCACTTCATACAGTCGGATCACATTGGGATGATGTAACTTCTCCATGCTTGAGATTTCACGAGACAACAGGCGCTGGGTCTTCTGGTCCAGTTTGGTTTTATCCAATATCTTTATTGCAACTTTTTCTTGGAAAATAAAAAAAGTGATACAATATTATAGCAAAACATTATTCAAAACCAGAAATATACAGGATGTAGAAAATGGCTGTGTAAATATACAGCTTTTAGAAAGTTCATCATGGCATTTAGAGTCTAGTTTTTTTCGTGCAACTATTTGTCATGTTATTCTTGGTCAATGACCCTCCAGGGTACCCAAGTATATAACTGGATTTTGTAGTAAAAGAAAACACAAAGGGGAATTGCAAGATTCCAGAAACAGCTGCGGCTTGAGCCAAAGCAAAACATGATATCCCCTACTCTAGCAGGTAGGTGGGGATGTTGTTACATATTCCTACTCTATTTTATGGCTTCTCCTCACTACCAATGAACAGCCCAGCATACCGCTTATGCTCTCCAGGATCTCAATGACATCACAGCTGGAAACAAGCACAATGCTGCACAACCTATATTTAATGCAATGCTGCTACCTAACTAATACAGGTTTAGGCAAACTTTTTCAACAGTTACCTTGCACAGCACTATACTGGTGACTATAGCATACACTATACTACATAGGTGGCTGCTTTGAGTAAAATGGATTATAATACATTTATTTAAAAAAAAAAACTTATCCTCCAGCCCCATCCACTACCTATAGAGATTGGGAGCTGAAGAGTCAGCCCCAAAAGCTTCCCCCTAACAACGCAGTGCACGCAGATGACAGACATTTTTTATGCATAGAATTAACACTGGTTGCCAATGTAACATGCGCAGGCGGTGCTAGTAGTCCCCCAACACAATTAGTAATATCTCTGTATGTGCAGTGTTTCAAGCTGAAACACTGCACATACTGACTCCTACAACTATAACCACTTCAAATCACTGGATTGTTCATGGTTGCTGCAGTAATCCTTTAATAAATAAGTACAATATCAATAGAATTCTTGGTTATTCTTTCTGAATTTTAGTGGGTTAAATCTAAATTGAAAAACTGAAGCGAAAATAGCCAAACTGTGAGTTGGAGAAATCTTCAAATCAGCTACTTCAACTTCAATTCTGCCATTCAGATATAATTTTCTTAAACTTGGAGTTTACGGAATGTATGTTGATGAGTACCTTTAGATACATTTATATGGATCACATTGTACAGCGCTACGGAATTTGCTGGCGCTATATAAATAATAAAATAATAATAATAATAGGGCAAAATTCACTTAAGCATATATTGTTCCACATCAGAGCATGAATTAATAAAATTCCGTATATCAAATGCATGTTGTATAATGTGACATATTCTATGTTCCTATTAATAATCATATTAGGTACAGATGTCTTATGGGTTAAAAGAACAAATGGTAGTTTGCTATTATGTATCATGAGCTAAAATGACTGGCACTTGTGGGTTCCAGCAAAGGTTTTATGATCATATTGTGCTGCAGAGTTCCAAAAACCTCCACTGATTATAGAATTCTATATTTCAGTTATTCAGTTTTTTCCCCCATCGATTTAGAGAAGACTTTACCTTTAGTAAGTACATGAATTCCAAGTTTTACTTGTGAGAAATTTCCACTTCCGATTTCTCCACGAAGTCGATAAAAGCCGATCCTTTTGCCCAGAGTCAGCTCTTTCACTGTCTTCTCATCACGTGACATGTCCTGAATAAGTTTCTCAAAGGGTGTTAGCTTGCGTGTCTTCCCATCTCCATCCTGTTCATAGCACTCAGACTGTGCATAGTCCTCCAAACCATCCTTCCGGTTCCACCGAGCATACCGCTGGTTCCCTGCGGTACTTCCATTCATGTACATTGCTGTCATTGTCAACATATCTGGACGTCTTTAGTGAACTGTGCTATAAGAAAGAAATCTATATCTATATATATTATAGATATATAGATAGCGCAAATCAACGCAACATAGTGTCAGGAAAAGTATCCACAGCTGATTTGAAAGACAAGTCATATATGTTGTAAAAAGTTGATTGTGTTCACCACCATGTGTGATGTAGCAGAAACAGAGAATTACGTAACTGTCTCTGTCAGTCTTTACACAAACAATAAAATAAACTGTTGAAAAGTAGAGATTGACTTTGAAATGTAGACAATGATAAATATGCTTTCACAAAGCTTTTTTTAAGTTGGTGTGGGAGCTGCTTCTTTTGGCTTCTGTGCTAACCCAAGAAGTGATTTGTCCTCGCTCAGATTCATCCTGGTCACAGCTTAGTTGAAGTATCCAGTAAGAGTGAAGATGCTGAGTTGGTCTCCGCAGAGATATCTCACTGTCTGGGTCACATTACATGACAGAGCAGGATTAAACAGTTGCAATGTCACTTTAGCCTCCTTAGCAAAAACAAGTGTGCATTAATCCTTCTCAAAAGTTAGCCAGACGTCTGGTATCTCCTGAAGAGAGATGTGAAAACTGTAATTAGTATTTATCCAGACATATCAAATGAAGATACATTTAAGTGGTCCAGTTAAAGTCACATATACATACAAATAGAATGTGTAAACTTAATCTTAAATATCCACACAGCTTATCACTGTGAACAAATTGGTTTAAATTAAATTAAATCTCTGGTAGATGCCCTGTGCATTTTGCTCCATCCACAATATAAAAATCATGTAGTATTATAAGGAAAAATACTGTACTAATGGTATTTAGTAACTCACCAACCGGCGATAAAAATGCTTCTTGTAGATTGTTGGAGGAGTCAGACATCTTTAGGCACTATGCTCGTCATGTGGGAGACCTGCTCTATTATACAGATTTTTTTGGTGTCAAATGAACAACCTTATTCAAGAGCTCTGTGAATTCACTTCCTAATTCTATCCTGAACATTTTTACTGCTAATAGTCTCAAAGGAAATATGGAAAGCTACCCAAGCCTTACTAATCCATATGTTAATTGAAGCATGAACATGTATAGCCAGACGGAGGACATTGACTGATGGTCCCATGGTGATTGATACTATTCCCTGTAATTCAGATCAAGATGTCTACGCAAGAGCCCTCCCTCAGGAATGACAATAGCTGCTGAACTAAATGGGATGGGTATATCAAGACACTGTTACCCAGTTACAACCAAATTAGATTTTCCAATTAATACAGTATTTTTGACATTACGCTACTTTTCATCTAAATGATACATTCCTGTTTTGTGTTTGATACCCACTATTTTGATAGGTCCTATACCTAAAACACATCTATAATAATTTATTTTACCACATACATCCATCACATTCCCGAGGTGCCGCAGTTGAGTTCATTATTTGTATTTGTGTTTTTATTGCTACTATGTTGTTTAACTGCTATCACCTTTGGTGTTCTGTATGAAACTTATTGTAGGAGAATTTTGTACTATTTGATGTGTATTACCAATTGTTACAAAGTTTTTGTTGATCTTGAGAATGTTGAGAATCCCTATACAATTCTTCTAAATGAGGACATTGGAAGAAGAACTAGATGCATGGAACGGCACTCTTATCAAATAAAATTAAAAAAATCTTAATGTATAGCCCACAAGGAAACCACTAGAAAGTTGTTGTTTAGATTCTATCTCCCCCCTGAAATTAGCCCATATCAAACTATTGATGTCCCCCGCTATTTTGGAGGGATTGTGACTCTATGGGTAAATTTTTACAAGTTTGGTAAACACTCCAACCAGCATTACCACTACAGTATGCTGAAGTGGTTATGGTGCAAAGAGTATCTTGGAGCCCCTCATTGTAAACGGTTAAACCATTTTAGAAAAAAAAATGTATCTGGGGTCCGCCAGACCCGGTCTCCACCTCCATGACTTCTGATGGAGAGCCCTCCTGAGCTAAGCCCTGCAGCTAAGTCCTAAGTAACTACCACAGTCGCAGTGGAACCTGGCCCGTCACTCCAGAAGCCGGTCGCAACTGCGACCCCTACGACCAGGGTAGGTGTGCTGCCGCACCAACCTGGGACCTGCGTTTGCAAGGTTACCGGCAGGAGGGTAGCGCTGTGCTGCTCCCTTCCTGCCATGGTTTGTAGCATGGCCAGTGGGACTGCGTAGTGTTCACTGAGAGAGCACTTCCTGTCAGTCCTGGTACCACGGTCCGGGTGAACAGGTACAGGAGGGGAGGAAGGAGAGACAAATGGGGAGAGAATGAGACACATGGAGGGGTTGGGGTGAGGGAAGGAGACGAGACACATAGAGTGCTGGGGGAAATGAGATACATGGAGGGCTGGGGGGGATTAGACATATGGAGGGCTGGTGGGGAAATGAGACATATGGAGGGCTGGGCGGGAAATGAGACACATGGAGGGGCTGGGGGGAGAGAGAATGAGACACATGGAGGGCTGAGAAGGGAAATGAGACACATGGAGAGCTGGGGGAATAAGAAACTTGAAGGGCTGGGGGGATGAGACATATGTAGGGGCTGGGGGAGGGAATGAGACACATGGAGGGGCTTGGGAGCAAGACACATGGAGGGGCGGGGGAAATTGAAACACATGGAGGGGCTGAGGGGAAGGGAATAAGACAAATGTAGTGGCTGGGGAGGAGGATAAGGCATATGGTGGGGGGGCAGGGCAATTTCCGTTTTCTAGTTACGCTTCTACTTCAGAATTCTTCTTTTTTCGTCCTCCAAAAAGGTCAAATGAAAGTCCGTAATATGCCATGCAACTATTAAAAATTACTAGAATTACAAAACAAATGTGACTGAAAAAAATGAGCCTCAAACATAATCTGATTATTAATGACAGGAATGGCCTTCATAAAAGCTTTCCATCACTTTAAATAGTTAGTAAGGGTGCCCTGGGCAGCATTTTTGTTTGTTTTTTTAAATTCTTTATTTATTCCAAGGCAGAACATTACACTGAGAACATGATGCATCAAAACATTGTAATATATTGTTACACCGTGCAAAACAGTATTGTATCATATTTGCAATAACAGTGAGCTAACAATCTTTGTGTGCAGCCTTTTTGGTCAGTTGCCATATAACTTAACCCTTGAGCCCCCTAAGTGTTTTTTTTTTAAATCTGTTTACCCACTGGGTGCTAGTGCTATCAGCAGGCAAATAGTTCAGATATGTAGAATTTTAATGCCCCTGTATAAAACCAGATTGCTTTACCTCATTCAGAAAGGCAGCATTCAGACGTTAGTGAATAACGCAGACTGTGTGTTACTCGCAGATAATGGTTTGGTTCAGAGACACCTAACACAAATACATACGTGGACATGTATATTTTTTAACACAGCACTGTGTCATCTGCTGATCTGAAAGCCCACATTTTAAGTGTCCGTAGGAAGTTGATAAGCATACGAAAGAAAATAGACATGATAGATGAAAGGTTTATCTAAAACCAGGCAAAATATAGTCGGAAGCACGAAAACAGGCATGGAATCCCTCTACCCCAGCCACCAAGATGCAACACACAAATATGGGAGAAAGGTACAACCCACAAATGTACAACTATAGTAGGTATATTATATCTCCTAACATTTGGAAGGTATGGGATCTGGACAGTGGGCAGGCCCTCTGAGGGACATTGTTCCTGACACAACTTGGCGAGCCCGCCATGAAAGTGGTGTCAAGCTCTTTTCATGGCTGTAGGTCCTGCCACACAGCACGTATAAGAATTTTGTGCTTTGCCGCATGGAGACAATTCTCTGGAGTCTCTGAATGTGGGCCACCAGGCAACAAAATTGGGACTGTGGGATAAGTCTCAAAGTAGGGACTGGGCCACCAAAAGTAGGACAGTTTGGAGGCATATGAAAAACCGAGAATGGTGGAATGGTAAAGGGAGTAAGGGACTGCATGAGTTGTAAGGGAAGGAAAAATGTAGCAAAGTTAAAAAGTTAGCATGTATCCGTGATACTAACAAAGGCAAAAGGTTTTTCCCATGACCAAATTAACTATATAATCTGAATTTTTCCTTTCCTGTATTGTATCCATTGATTTACCAGTGTATTCGATAATATACTGTGTACAAAGTATCTTAGCTTAAAAAATAAATGAATAAAATGTAAATAAATCAATCGTATCAGTCCCAGAGATTGCATCATATACCACAAACAGCTGACTTGGTCATGATCATTGAAAACCTAAAATCAGCAAATAATGAGGCTCATTTTCCTTTCTGCTTCCTTATTTAATTATATCAGGATCCATACATTTCTGATACCTATTTGTTAAAGGGGAACAGTCACTATTAAATAAAACTTTGAAAATCAACTATAATTTGTGTTAAACTGTTTTGTGTAATGCTTTATTTTATTATCCAGTTCGTTGCAAATTATGAGTAGACACAGATGACAATCTTGTCCTTGTATGCTTTCTGTATGCTGGTTGCCAGGTACGTAAGACAGGGCTTATCACAATAAATTTTCACCGTTCACAAATGCTTTTTTGTTGTTGTTAAATATTGGGATAAGATAAAGCTAATATCAAACACCTGGGAAGGTACAGACTCTGTTAAGGTGCTATGTTTGCAGTGTTTGGAAGGTCAGTCCAGAGAGATCCTCTAAAACACACACTGTGACATGATGCCAGTTAATGTGACATTACACAACTGCTGGATACAGTTACCATGGCAGACAGAGGATACTGAAATGAAAACAGGGGTATGGAAACCTAGAAACAGGGAAAAAGACTCTGGAGGGCATGGGGGCGATTAACAGACAGAGTTGCCACATGCATACTAATGAATCTGCCATAGAGAGAATGGAAAAACTAATAGAATGCAAAGGACATGCAAGTAGTTTAAGTAGGCCCCAATAATCTCAAGCATTGACTTATAATGGCCCAGTCTTATTTACGGTTGAATCCATTCAACGGGTTTTAACACTTTGTGTGACTTGATACGTTTAGGTTAAAAGATGACAGGATTATTAATTCAAGTGCAGTTTGTCATGAAATTCAAATTTTAGGTCATATAGCCGAATGGTAACATTTCGCCAAATCAGCTATATTTTCTCCTCAGCTAATTCAATCTAATTTTTTCAAATTCTGTTTGAATTCATGACAATTTACATTTTAGTGAATAATCCTGTTTGTTAGGTGCCTCTATACCATCGGCCCTCAAACTCCAGCCCTCCAGATGTTGCTGAACTACAACTCCCATGATTCTCTGGCTATCTATGTAATGCAAAGAATTATGGGAGTTGTAGTTCAGCAACATCTGGAGGGCCACAGTTTGCTCTATACTAACTGTTGTCCCACTAAAGACATGAAAGTAGTAGCATTATCTTTATATTTAAACTCACTAATCTGTATCTCATGAGAAAACAATAGGGTACTCAAACCTCAGGCAAAGAAGTCAAATCCTCCACTGGTTACCAGTAAGTAGATACACTGATCAGCCACAGCAATAAAACCACCGGTCTATTTAATATTAACATTGACAGATACAGTCACATCGCTAGGGGCCTTAATCTTAGCGTTAGAAGATTATACTAGAGTCTCAAATTACAAATTAAATGTTGATAAATCCCAAATTATGCCCATTAACTTAGACTCTATGACAATTAATAGACTATATACTAAATACCTTTTTACTTGGTCACCACAAGGTTTTAAATAACTTGGGATTTATTTTTTCTCCAACCAAAAAACAAATTAATAGATAAAAACGTGGATAATCTTCTAAAAGGAACTATTGATACATTTCTGAAAGAGTGGAGAAATATAGAAATTTCCTGGTTAGGAAGAATAAATATCATCAAATCATATATTTTACCTCAATGGTCATACCTTTTCAGAATGATCCCATTTATCTGTAACAACAACAAAACAGATCCATAAATTATTTTTGAATTATATCTGGGGCTATAAGATATCTAGGATCTCTATTCTACACGTAATGAAAAAGTCCAGTAAGGGTGGCCTGGTGGTCCCTAATCTCATTAAATACTATGAAGCCAGTAGGCTGTTCCATCCAGGGCCCAGTGACAACAGAAGATCCTTGGTACAAAATTGAGTCCTTTCTGTGTAAAACAAGAGATCTAATATGATACGTACTGACGCTGGAGCCAGTGCTATTGTTTTTTCAAATATAGAAATCTCTTATATAAGACATATTTATGAAAACTGGGTAAAATACAGGGGGGGGGGGCAGGGGGGGCAGGGAATCATATTCTAAATCAAATCTCTAAGTATATTCCAATTAAGATAATGAAATATAATAATACTGATCTAAATATAGGTAACTGGATCAAATCTGGTACAATTAAAATAAAAGATCTACTAGAGTCGAATAAAATAAGGCCCTTTTCACACCTTCAGTTAAGTCTTGGCCTTAAATCAAGAGAGATATTCTCATATCTAAGAATCTCCTCCATCACGATACTAGGATAAATAAAAAATGAAATGATCTATTTAAAAATAATACAAAACATAAACTGATATCTAGTTGGTATGAAATACTGAGAGGTGAAGAAATAGAGTCTAAACCAAAAGAATGGAAAAACTGGGAACAAGAAAGGGGGTCCCTCATCGAGCTAGAGCAGTGGTATAGATCAATTCAAGAAGTTAAAAAATCATTGCACTGTTTAAATATTATAGAGCTTCACTACAAAATCTTCATCAATGACATAGGGTACCAAAAATTCTAAATAAAATTAACCCTGATAATACCAAACTATGCTGGAGGTGTAATTGTGTAGAAGGTAGCTCTAAACATATCTGGTGGGGATGTAAGCTTTTAAGACCTATATGGAATAAGGCATTTAGAGTTATATCAGACTTAGTGGGAGAAGATTTGGAAGATAATTTGTTGGTTGCTCTTTTTCACTTTAATATAAAAAAAATTCTCAACTCAAAAAAGATATCTTATAATTCAACTTATGATGGCCATAAAAATAGAAATCTCAAGATATTGGCTACAGAAAAAAATCCCATCCTGGACTCAGGTGCTTTAATACCAATATGATATGGAAAGGGTATGTCTTTTTAATATGATAGCCATTTAAAATGTGATAAAAAATGGTTACCTTGGTTAGGCAACCTGATATAACTCTAACCACCACAACATTAGAAGCAGATCCTTTAATTCCTGCAAATTGTGAATCAATCTCTAGGTAGGTGGTACATGTCAAAGTAACAACCACATGAATGCCAGAACCCAAAGTTTCCCAGCAAAACATTGCCCAAAGCATAAAACTGCCTCCTCCGTCCTGTCTTCTCCCATAATGCAACCTACTGCCATCTCTTCTCCAGGTAAATTATGCACATGCATCCAGTCATCTACCTGATCTAGAAGAAAAAGTGATTTATCATACCAGCCAACCTTCTTCCATGTTCCTTGTTCCAGTTCTAAAACTTGTGCCCCCATTGAAGGTGCTTTAGGCAGTGGACAGGGGTCATGATGGGCACACTGACCGACTGAGGTTATGCGTTAAATTTTTCAGCAATTTGAGCTACAGTAGCTCTTTTGTGATAAGACCAAGTGGGCTTACCTTCACTAAGCACATGCATTGTAATGAGTCTTGTGCGCCCATGACACTGATGCCAGTTCACCGGTTGTCCTTCCTTGCACCACTTTTGGTAGGTACTAACCACTGCATACCAGGAACAACCCACAAGACTGGCCATTTGAGATGCACTGAGTTGTCTAGCCATCACTATTTGGCCCGTTTTTAAAGTCACTTAGCTCTTTTCACTTGCCCATTTTTCCTGCTTTGAACACATGAAATTCAAGAACTGACTGTTCACTAGCTGCCTAATATATCCAACCCATTGACAGATGCTACTGTAACGATATAATCAATGTTATTCACTTCACCTGTCAATGTTTTTAATGCTGTGGTTGATCAGTGTAAATGCCTCCGCTTGGACAGTCATTTTGTCCATGTTATCTAATGAACAACGAGTGCAGAACTGCTTATGTTCTGATATACTTATATGTAAAGTGTAGACAGCCTGACTGGTATTTTACATCTCTAAAATCTCATACAATTCTTTGCAGTTTTATAATCTAGTAATACAGATGTTGTTTGTTTAGTGCTTAATTATCCCTTGGATACAATATTACAAAGAACAGAAATGTGCACACTAAATATGCATTCCCATGGATAGGAGGTGTGTTGGTCCTTGGTCTCCTGGCACGATAATGTATGCAATGCATTGATGAAAAAATGTAAAATATGTAGTCTTCATATATATTATACAGCAACAAAAATGGTCTGCCAGTGAGCCTGTCTGTCTATCTATCTATCTATCTATCTATCTATCTATCTACTTTTATCTATGTTATCAAAGGCAGTTTGTAGAATGTGCTGTAATATCAGTCATTACATAAAAACAGTAAACTGTTTTGACCATCAGATTGTGTGTGCTAGACAGGATTAGATATAAAACCCTTAATGATGAGCAGGTGAGAACCTTTAAGGCTTATGTAAATCCTGTCGGTGAACTAGTTTGACATAAGGAAGTACTGCCAGGAGTATAAGCCAGCACACATTGTCCCAGACAATGGGACAAAGCCTAATGCTGACATAGGAACACAAGGCTGTTACGTGAGCCATAAACCAGCACTCAGAAGTTGCATGGGAAGGTTACGGCAGAAAAATGAATACTAAAATGCTAAATAGTTGTTTGATATGTTTCTATTACAAAGCCATTTTAATATTAATGTACACACAGTCTATTCAGGCTATATTGTACGTCTAATTACTTAGTGTAATTATTTTCCTTTGTGATCATCCACACCTCCAGGACTTTGATCCTTTTTTTTTTTTTTATTGTAGGGAAAAGTATCTTCATCTGAAAATTTGGCATCAAAAGCGTCAGCTGCAATGGGCGGCCAGCCTCTGATCTATGCTTGGGGCTGTCAGCAGTCAGAAACACATGTTTATTCATTGTGGTGTTAATAAAAGAGAAATAAGCACTTGGAGCTGAAAAGGGTTAGGAGAGATCTAGCATGGTAATATATTTTTGTATTTCTACATGTGTTTATAAATACATAATAAGTTACGTGTTATATCAAATCGAAGTGGTGTGATCATCTAATCCTCCCTCCCTTGTTGCTGCCATTACCTTAGCATTCTTAATGTTCCCATATGAATGCTGCTGTGTTCCCTAACTCTTAGGACACCACAAAATCCAATGAAAAATTCAGATTGAGAATTGCAAAAAAAAATTACAGCTGAAGACATTTTACTCTCCGACACAATTTCGCAGGTGGCTCTTGGGTTGCCAGGTCCACCATTTTGTCTTTGAGTAGTGTACTGATGTCCTATTGAAAAAGCAGTGTTTACCTTGCATGTTAGAGCATTAATGGATGTCATTCAGACAGCCACTAGAGGCGCCATCTCCTTATAGTCCTGCAATCTTATAGTCCTGATGTTTGGTGTTGTTAGATTTTCCTGTAAACTCTACCAATAGTGAGTAAACTACATACAACATGTCAATCACATACAGTCAGTTACAATATAATAACTACACAGATGAATATTTAAATAGCCAGGCTGAATGTTTTAAGTATACTGGAAAAGTAATATTTCTCCATACAGAACTATGTATTTACATTATCTTATTACCATGTTACTTTATAAGTAAACACCTTAAAATAAATTAAAACAGCTTTGTGGAACATCAAACCAAGTGTCATCCTGACATTTGTTTTAAATATGGAAGAAATAACATAAAGATTTTTCACTATATTTTAGATTTTATATAATGTGTCTGTGAAAAACATTTTCTAGAAAATAGGTTTTCCAACTTTTATTACATCAGTATCCGAGATATCCCTGAAAATCCATTATTATAGCATTGCAGAGGGAGTAAGTGCTAACATTCTACCAATATACACAATGACACGTATTTTCATCACTGATCAGGTTCAATCACTGAACATGTGACACTATGAGTTAAGTTGGATAATAATTAAATATATACAACAGGAGAAAATTGAAAAGAAAGTCAAATATCAGTTGATTCCCTCCTGATAAAACCATTTTACTTACAGTAAAATGAATATCAGGCAACAGGCCCTTATTTGAGGACCTGCTCAGGTTTCATGCAAGGGACTCAGATTAATAAGACATAACAGATTTTGGGTGAAATCTGTCAATTGCCATTGAGATCAACAGAATTCTCTCAACAGTTAGCACTTTGCATCCAAATAGCACCTAGTTTTCCCTTAATAAATCTCCCTACCCAACTCCAAAAATAAACAGATTCTTCCTTGCATTACATTGTATACACAGGGTGAGTCAAAAGTCTGAATGTATACAAAGCTGTGTAGAAAGAACACAGTTTCATTCATTGACTGTGGGTTTTTAAATTTACCTTAAAAAGATGAATTGGGAAAATTCAATGGTCTGGTCAATTCCATGATTTTTTCCAGTTTAGGGAAAAACGCTATCAACATTAAACTAATTTCACCATTTTCTTATATTCTTTCTTACAGGTTTTATTTCTAGTTTCTGATCCTTTGATTCATTCCGTATATGAAAAGAAATGAAAGATCCTTTTCTTACCTTAACCGGTGTGGCGTTAAAGTATTAAATTAGCCTCTTCTGTTCTTTGTTAAATAAAGTAGACCATTACATTAGCATGCCAACAATGAACCATAAACAAAACTGGCATCTGCCTGTAGATCTGTAGAGACCCAGTACACAGCTGAGCCCTAATGATAATCTGAAATTTCTTTTTTAATCTATCTTTTCTTCCGCATGTTTTTGGCTACGTGCACAAAGACTCCAAGGATTTAAGTGCCCTTACTAATACACTCTGTTGGCTCTGAATCTTCCTGTCCTGTTCTTGTTAAATTCACACAATAAGCCACTGTGCTATAAATGAGGCCGAATTTAGAGAATATGAAAAAACACTGGGAAACGCACTGGAACAGAACATGATAAAAACAGACGTGCAGAAAGCCTTTGTAGTGCCAAAGGCATAAAAACAGAAAGGACATTTCAACATAACTAAATAAAATGCTTGCGGTTTTGTATTCTCAGAGAAACGCTCCCCATTAGAGAAAGTTGGCACATGCCTATAGGCACCTTGGAGTTTGTGGATGCTCTGATGCCATCAGCCACATTCAGTAGTTCAAATATAAATTGCTCAGCGACCTGTTCCTATTCATTCTCTTTTCGTACATACACATCACTAAATGTTATTCTTTTTTTGACAAGGAATTGTGTTACTGACCCATCTAAGAAATACACTCTTTATAATCTGTCCTAGAATAGAGAAACCCATTCTCTGCCTGACTGGTTAAATGATTCCACATTGTAAGTATCTATTCATAGGATTCTATTAATGACAAATGGAATGTGTAATGCCACAAGCCATTGGTATCCTTAAATACTGGGGGAAACTGTTATGAATTGATGAAGGCTATACAAAATGTAGGCAGCCATGAATGCATACATAGTTACAGAATGGCAGGAACTTTCCAAATAAAGAAGAACTTGCTCCGGGAATGCAATGAGGTAAATTCTGTAATGACCAAATGCCACCTAGGGGACAACAAGATAATAGAAAGTCAAGCACTATGTGGAGTAGCCAGAGGCCATGGAAGTTAGAATTTGGATAGAGAGCAACGGAGTGAATTCATAAAGTGAGCCATGAGGTCAGGATCTAGCTATCAATAAATTAATACCTTCAAATAGTCCCTATTTAGTGGGAACAGTCCCTATTTTGGACCCAAATCTGTGTGTATAAGAATGTATAACAGAGTTCCACAGCAATAATACTCATAGTATTGTATGAGTTGGCGGAATTTGTTGGCGCTTTATAAATGCCAGTAATAAATAAAAATAAATAGTAATGTATCCGTAAACAATAAATATGTTTAGAAACCAGTCTATATAAATACGATGCATTGTTCTTATTTTAAATTACACCATAGTCCTATAAATTGTTAACAGTAGGTCATCTAAAATTTCACCCTCACTCACACCCATAAAAGTAAAGTCTCCATAGTTGTCCATTTGAAATGTTGGAAGGTATGTAAACATATTCCAAAGGTTAGATCTGAATAGATAAATAGGTAATAGGTAAAAAAAGAAGACCCAAAAATCAGAAACCAATAATTTAGAAATAGTATCCCTCCTTCAGTTACTTTCACATCTACAAAGGGGTATATCGAAGAACATCATTATCTCAAATGTCATAGGTACCTCTTACCTCCCGGTCTGTGCTGTCACTCAGAAGTTGCCAGGGTACAGAGACATATTTTAACATTTTATTATATCATTTTTATTGTGCATAAGCTCTACTTCTTTAATGGACAGTTGGGATTAAGAAAAAAAAAGTGTTGTGCTCACTTTTTAGACAGTTTTTCTAGTGATTTCCCTTTTTGCACCTATTTTATCCCTTAACTGCATCAAAATATTCCTTACTGCATCTCTTCCATCATTTCAATTTCCTATTCCAATTATTTTGCTTCCAAGGTATTAAAAAAATAAAGTACAAAAGTGCACCTTTTATTTCGGATACATTTTTCTGGCACTGTCAGAGTGGTGGTTTTTCTGACAGATAAGCAGATTTCACAATCTGTTTAAGGAATAAAAACTCCTTCAAATTATGCCATTTCCCCCCTATAGTAATACTATTTGTCTTATTCTGTGAATGTAATAAATGGTAAAATCTGCAAAAAGTATTAAAAAGTGTAAAATGTATTATTTTGGCACATTACAGAAAAGTAGGAACAAAGTATATAAAGTTAGTCGTTATATTAATAAAAATGGCGCATTTGCACAACATTTGTGCAAGTTTGAATGTGAATGTGATAATATGCATACATGGTTCAATATATATTGTTCAATTTGACTGTTTTGATGTTTGTATTTTTTTACATTTGCTGAACTAATACATTTTAATTTATAAAAATTAAAATAAAAAGATAATAGTGTAATCTTTGATACTGGAGACATTTATTTACCCGCTTCCTTCACCAAAGTGCATAGAGAGGCTCATATATGCAATGTGATTCAAGATTCACAAAAAATAGGGCCCTCATGTCATTGCACTTCATAGAACCTACGAGCTTGTCCGAGTCAGTAGTGGTCTTGGTGGTGTTATGCCTTTAACCCCTTAAGGACACATGACGTGTGACATGTCATGATTACCTTTTATTCCAGAAGTTTGGACCTTAAGGGGTTAAAGGGAAACTATAGTGTCAGGAAAACAAAGCTGTTTTCCTGACACTATAGCTCCCTATATTGCCTCCCTCCCCCCACCCACAGTGCAGGAAGGGTTAAAAATCCCTTCTGATACTTACCTGGGTCCAGCGACATCAGCCAGCGGGGGGAGACCTAATATGCATGCGTGGCAATGGCAGCGCTCACATTAGGATTTCCCCATAGGAAAATATTATACAATGCTTTCCTATGGGGATTCCGGTGATGCTGGAAGTCCTCATGCATAGTGTGAGGACGTCCAGCGTCAGGCGACCAAAAGTTGCCTAATGATCCGGAAGTCCCTCTAGTGGCTGTCTGGTAGACAGCCACTAAAGGAGGAGTTAACCCATAAAGGTATACAAAAAACTGCAATAATTACCTTTCCAGGTTTAAGGGTGCTGGAACACTGCACCCAGACAACTTCAATGAGCTGAAGAAGTCTAGGTGCCTGTAGTGTCCCTTTAACAGCGGGAAAAGTTTATTTTACATGTCTAATTCTCAGGTTTATTTTATATGTAAGAACACTGAAACAAATTTGCAAAAACATACCACTAAACCAAGTCTTCATCCATCCATTTCTTTACTGTTAGGCTATTTTAGTGGCACTGTCACCCTCCCCCCGAATATGTTTTCATGAAGATAAAATCTTTATGAAATACTCATATTAAATGTGTTGGAATCTCTCTGAAATTCCAACCCAGTCAAACGATATACTAAGTTGAAGTAGGGACTACTTTGTCTTTGTATTTTTCCTATGCTTGACAAAACTTGACAAAAAGACATAGCTACATTTGCCTTGCATTGTCAAGACCCCTGATGTCACTAATGACAGCTGAGGGGAATAAAAGCTCTGTCTGTGCAGGATCTCATGGGTTCCCCTATAGACCTCAGTCTTGTACTCTTGTGCATGCGCGGGAGTACACTGCCAATGTAGGCTTCTGGCTGCTGAAGCTACAGGACCTGAAGAGTACCGTAAGGAAGAGCATGGCCAAGAGAGACAGGTTCAGGTAAGTAAAACTCACTTTCCCCTGCATCCCAAACTATGCCACAACACTAGATGGTGATGGAGCTGTTGGGCAGGTTTCCAATCATGCTGTTTGTGTGTTGATGTTAAATTGCCGCTGGTGGTCCACACATGGACAGCACAGAATCACGTTCAGGGGGTTAATTTTACTTCTGGGTTGGGAAATCATTCCTGAAAACCATCACTAAAAACCATCACTAAATCTCTTTGTCTTCATGTAAAATGAAAAACATCTGTTTAGTAACTTTGAATTGTCTCCTGTTTAGTCACAGATACACATAGCTGCCAACACAGGTTCTCTAAAATGTTACAGTTTAGTCGTTGGAAACACTCTGCACAGCACAATGCAACAAACAAAAAGGCTCAGGTTTTTATTTGCCTTGTAGCTGTGAAAGGCGCTTAGATTGGATCTCCCTGAGTTATAGAGAAATCCTTATGGCCTTTGGCTTAGCGAGTATTCCAATCAGGATTCCTCTGTTCTATTCCTCCTCTCAGAGATCCGCCAACGCACATAATCATAGTTGTTTGTGAAAGATCATGAGCCTGGTGACTGCAGGGGAAAAAAGACTGCAAACTAAGCAACACAGGAGCCTTTAGTGTAGCAACAAAGAATATTGTCCAGAACACAATCTGCTGCAGAAAAAAATATCCCACCAAGTAGCCGATGACATAATATTTTTTAAGAAAATAAACACTAAGATCAGAACCTTATGTTGATATCTTCAGAAAGACGTTGCACAGGAAAAACAAGCCAGAAACAAGTTGCAAAACAAAAAAAAAAGTACAGGACCAAGAGAATATGTTCACTATTTAATGTTCACCTGCTTTTAACAAACAAACACGAAGAACAGATTATGGTGAGTTCACTGAGCTGTTAAGTTGCTCCTGAACTGGTTAGTACTTTGGTGAAGCTATGTGGCAGACAATCAATAACTGGTCACAATAAAAAATTAAGGAGAGCCTAGGCCACCGTGAGAAAAAAGAAATCTTAATGGGAGACAGATATGACTGTATGACTGACGTGCATCGTTAGAGTTTGTAAGATGCATCAATTCCCTCATTAACTCACCTCACACATAGAAAATGTCTTTATATGCTCATGATGGCCTGTTTTTTTTATTTTATATTTTTTTGTCATTTTTAGAAAATCATTCTAAAACGCTATTTACTAATTAGTGCAATTTAGCCCTAATACCAATATTTTTAAAAGATACCTAACTGAAGTGAAATATGTTCCGTAGGAAACCATTAGAAACATGGAATTGTCTCTATTAGTAAATTTGGCCACAGCAGATCATGTGACTCAAAATGCTTTATTGTAGATACAAGTGCTTACATGGGAACATATCACACAACACCTTAGTTCCTTCCTAACACATTTTGTGTATGCAAACTGCACAAGCTTGTAGGACACTATAAGTATGTGCAGTTTGCCCACACAAAACGTAATAATGGATGCTATTCAGAATACGGAAAATTTATTCATACTTACCGTAATTTTATTTTCCTGGCTATTATTCATGGCAGCATTTAACATATGGGTTTAGCTCCTCCCTCTAACCCTCAGGACAGGAAACACAAACAATTAAACAATTAAGCATACCTTCCCCTGGTATAATAGGACCCCCATCAGCCATCACACCTCAGTCAAGTAACAAGACGAATATCCAAAAGAGGGTGGGAATAATAGCCAGGAAAAGAAAATTACGGTAAGTATGAATACATTTTCCGTATTCTTGGCTAATCATGGCAGAATTTAACATATGGGATTCCCCAAGCAATAATGACACAGGGAGGGAAATACATGCTACAAAATAGTTTAATAAATAAATCAGCTCTGAGGATTAAAGGAGTTCATGACTGACAGGCCAAACTCTGAATCCGAGCGAGAAGCCACATCCACTTTGTAGTGTTTCACAAAGGTCCTTAGGGATGACCAATTTGCAGCCTTACATATGCATGAACACCTGACTCTGCAGCCGATGAGGTAGCAATGGATCTTGTGGAATGAGCTCTGATGCCTTTGGGAACAGGAACATTCCTAGCTTTATAAGCCTTGGAAATCGCAGATACTGTCCAAGATGAAGGGCGGAGACAGAAGCGGATTCTCCTTTACGAGAACCCCAAAGTATAACAAATAATTGAGAGGAATTCCTCCAAGTAGCTGAGCATTCTATATACATCAACAAACATCTCCTAAGATCCAGCATGTGACACCTTGACTCCTCAGGAGTAGAAGGATGCTGAAAATAGGCAGGCACGACAATCTCCTGTTGGAGATGGAAAGGTGTAACCACCTTGGGAAGAAATTCAGGTCTCGGGCGGAGAATGACCCTATTATCGAAGAAGGAAGTGTAAGGTTCCTCGGCTGATCAAGCACTGATGTCAGACATCCTTCTAGCTGAGACTAGAACCAGCAATAATAGGGTCTTCAGAGAAAGGATGTGCATCTGAATTTCGCCAATAGGTTCAAAGGGAGGATCTGTGAGAGCCTGAAGCACCAGAGGCAGATTCCAAGGAGTCGCCAGTTGTCTAATAGGAGGTCTAATACGTAAAACGGCCTTGAAAAAGCAAACCACCCGAGGATGAAGCGCCCATCGAACACCAGAAAGAGCAGAGATAGCTGAGCAGTGCACTTTAAGGGTGTTAAGACAAAGACCCTTCTCCAAGCCAGCTTGTAGGAGACCCAAGACTTGAGAGATCGTAGGAGGACTCATGTTCTGCATGGTTGAATTTAACCACATCACAAAGGCTTCCCAAATTCTGTGGTAGGTAGAGGAAGTGAAGATCTTTCTGGAACATAACAGGGTAGAGACCACCTGGTCCGATAAACCCTGTTCCTTTTAGGATTGCCTTTCAGAAGCCACGCATGAAGCCTGAGCTTGTAAGGTTCTGGATGAACCACTGGGCCTTGTGTCAGGAGATCTTCTGTGACCGGAATTTCCCAAGGATCCTCTATCGCCAACCTCTTCAGAAGAGGAAACCAGGACGACTCGGCCAGAAGGGGATTACAGTAATCACTCTGCAACGTTCTCTGGAAATCTTCCTCAGCACAGCATTAATGAGAGGAATGGGGGGGAAAACATACGCCAGATGAAAGGGCCATTTCACTGAAAGAGCATCTTGATCCAGTGCTTTTGGATGGAATTTTCTGGATACAAAACAAGGGACTTGAGCATTCTGAGCCATGAGATCCACTTGGGGAAGACCCCACCTCTGGACCAATTGTTGAAACACAGGCCTTGAAAGATGCCATTCTGTGGCTTTCACCTGGTGTCTGCTGAGGAAGTCTGCTAACACATTCTCCTTTCCGGGGAGAAAGACTGCACGCAGGCCTTCCACATGTATTTGTGCCCAGTTCATGATTGCTGTCACTTCTTTCATCAGCGAGATACTCCTGTTGCCTCCTTGATGGTTGAGATACTCTTAATTTCACCCAGGCTCCCTTTATCTGGTGCTGAAAGTGGAGAAGAGCCAGAGATGTCGCTCTCAACTCCCTTATATTTGAAGGCAGGTTCTGAGCCCTCTGAGGCCATTCTACTTGGATGAAAGATTTTCCCAGATGTGCTCCCCATCCATACTGACTGGCATCTGTCGTGATGACTACCCAGTCGATTTTCTTCAGAGGAAAACCTCTGGAAATGTTTTCCTCTTTCCGCCACCACCGAAGCTTCCTTTTCAGATCGAGAGGAATGTGGATCTGTCTTTTCCATTCCTCTGAGCTGGTTCTTAAGTTTCTCAGAAGATACTGCTGAAGTGGACGCAGGTTCCATTGCGCCCATTTGACCAGATCTATCGTAGAGGTCAAGGTACCTAGGAGCTTCATAAACTCCCTTGAGGAAGCAGACGTCATTCGAATAAAGGTGTGAATGCGATCCTGCAGTTTCAACCTTCTCTCTTGAGCAAGAGATACTATTGCCGTGAGGGTATTGAAGCTTGCTCCTATGAACACCAGCTCCCTTGTTGGTTGTAGATGACTCTGCTCTTGGTTGATTAGCTATCCAAACTGAGATAGAGTCTTGAGGACCAGCTGTCTATGTCAAAGCATTGTCTCGAAGTCTGAAGCCACTACCAGGATATCGTTGAGGTAGTGGTAGATGGCAACATCCATCCTTCTGAGGAAAGCAATAACTGTGACCAGCACTTTCGAGAAAGTCCTCCGGGCTGTACTTATTCCAAAGGGAAGAGCCTGAAACTGGAAGTGCTCCCTTTTTACACGGAATCAAAGAAACTTCTGATGCCTGGCCTTGACAAGAACATGGAAGTAGGCGTCTCTCAGATCTATTGAGATTAACCAGTCTCTGTGGTGTACCACGGGAATGATGGAATGGATGGATTCCATGCGAAACCTTCTTACCCTTAAGAAGAAATTGAGCTGGTGTAGGCCTTGAATAGGTCTCCACTTTCCTCCCGGCTTCTTTACCAAGAAGAGGGGAGAATAGAACCCTTGGAACCTTTCCGTCACTGGAACCGGAGCAATGACCTTTTCTCGTAATAGATTTGTTACATAATGAGTCAAGACGTCTCTCTTTTGTCTGTCGACAGGGAGTCTTGTTCTGATGAATCTTGGTGGAGGGGAAAATTCTTTGAACTCCAGAGAATAACCTGTTGTGACAATGGAATTCACCCAGGCATCTGGAATCATACTCCAGGTCCTCTGGAAGAACGTAAGACGTGCTCCGACATGAGGGACCTGGCCTAAGCCACCTTTAGAACTGTCTGGTGGGGCGAAAGGAAGAATTTTGAGCCTTTGGTCTGTAAGACTTTGAGGTTTGGCCACTCTTCCAATTGGAGAGCCGAGAGTATTCTCTGCCTGGTCGATAGGTTTTACTATCCCTGTATCCGCCTTGAGGCCTGTAAGGACAATGGTCCTGTTGCGGTCTTTTCGGACGCCTGTCTTGTGGAAGCATGATTTGCTTGACCTCAGCTGGCTTCTTCAAGCGGTCTGCCAAAAAGCACCTCGCCCAAGAATGGTAGGGTGCATAAATTATTCTTAGAACAGAAATCAGCTCCCCGGGATCTCAACCACAAAGCCCTTCTAGCAGTAACGGAGTGCGCCATAACCTTTGAAAAAATCCTGATGAGGTCTGTGGAGAATTCCAACAGCCAGTCACTGGCTAGTTTAATCTCCCTTAACGAGTCCGTCATGTGGCGTCTACTCACTCCTTTCTCTATATCCTCCTCCAAATCGAGGATCCATGAACATAATGCTCTGGACAAAGCAGAGATAAAGACTGCAGGATGACATCCCAAGCCTGCTGTCATGAAGACCTTAGAAAGATCTGCATCTATCCTTTTATCCATGGGTTCTTTGAGCGAAGCACTACGATCAATAGGCAGAGTTGATCTTCTTGCCACTTTAATAATTGAAGCATCAATCTTTGGGGCCACCGTCCACATTCTTGAATCCTCCTCCTTAACAGGGTACAATTTTGACAATCTGCCCTAATTTGTAATCCTTTTCCGAGGAGTATTCCATTCTGAGCATATCAGCTCCTTAATGGATCTGTGTACTAGAAAGGAAGGTCTCCTCCTGTGGAGGTCTCCGAAATGTCTATCAGAAGTCGAAACTTCTCTGACTTCTTCCGGCAAATCCAAAGTTTTCCTGACTGCCATGATCAGATGTTCCATGGACTTATCATCTAACGAGCACGGTTGCTCCATGAGCTATTCCTCACTAGAAAAGATAGGCTCTAATTCTAAGGAACCAGCCGTGTGTCTGAAGTCTTCTCCTGAGAAGTCGGATTCTCTGCCAAAGCTCTCACATCTTTTACCTCTATTGGATTCTGAAATCCCTTCCGCCACAGCTTGCTTTATCCAAAAGGCTATATCCTGAGCCGAGGATGTAGAGGCTTGAGGTGACCTGCGAAGTTCCGACTCACCTGCGACCATGGATAAGCACTTATGGCATAGCCTGCAGTTATCCAAAGGCCTTGCGCCACATCCAGGGCAGGCCGCCGGTTTATCCCTCTTAGATGGAGATCTAGGGCCAGACCGGTCTTAAGGGCTGTAAAACACAGAAGTCATATGACTGTACCCTCCATGAACTCTTTTTAATCTTAAGAAAAGGTAAAAAAATTCTAATGCTCACCTATGACCTACTTGCTGATTTTGCAGAAGGAGATGCTGGATCCATCCTCTTAGAAGGGCTATATAACAAAAATGTTATCCCAATTGAATTCCATTGATAAATGCTGAGCAGTGTTACTATGTAAATAAAAGCACAAAACATACCTACAGAGAATGAATAGGGCACTTAGAGAGCAGTGTAAGACCAAAGGAACTGAAAACGCTAGATAATTTCAGGAAAAGACACCATATTCAAATTTCCCGCTCTGTGCATTTAAGGAGGCGCACATGCGCCGATTGGCAACAAGTCCGTGGCTCCGCCATCTTGGATGAGGGCTAATATGTCGAAAATCCGGCCGTGGCTATTGAGCATGTGCGTGCGTCTTACCGGACGGATGATCATCTGATCGAGGTCTGGATTCATTATCCTGGCGAACACAGGCTCCAGATGCCAGAGGGACTACCATCATGGCTCCCAGGGGTTCCCCACTCGTGCAGAGAAAGGGCTACATGTGCCTGGGCTTCCTGTGGAGGGAGGCTGACCTCCATAGGGTGAAGATCATAGCAGCATGATCAGGTGAGCATAAAAAAAAAACTTTAACCCTTAGAAAATCAGAGAGAGAAAAAAAAATCACAACTGTCCTAGGGCTATGAGGACAGGAAAAAAAGACTGAGGTGTGATGGCTGAAGGGGTTCCTATTATACCAGGGGAAGGTATGCTTAATTGTTTTATTGTTTGTAGGCATGTGCATGGGGAAAATTTTCTGTTTGGTTCGGCATTCCGAAATTTGGGATTTTCGCAATTCAGACTTCGGCAATCCGGCAATTCGGCAATTCGGCACTTCAACACTTCGGAACTTCGGCAACTTCGGAACTTCGGCACTTCGGCATTTTGGAATTTTGGGACTTCAGCACTTCAGGACTTCTATTGCAGCAGCTTAGTAGATAACTCTCTAATTCCCACGGTATGGTCTTTCAGCCAAATTTACTAATACTAAGTAAATAAAAAAATAAATAAATAAAAATAAATAAATAAGAAATAGGGTCCCTCTATTATTAGTATTTAGGGCCACCACCCACCGCTCAGAGTTGAGGGCAGGGGGGAGGACATTAGGACCCCTCCTTATTATAATTTAGGGCACCCACCCACCGCTCAGGGGTGAGGGCCGGGGGGGAGGACATTAGGTCCCCCCCAATTCTGATTTAGGGCCCCCACCACCACTCAGGGGTGGGGGCCCAGGGGGGGGACAATAGGTCCCCCCCCTTTTTTTACATTAGGGCCCCACACCCACAGGCTGCTCACTGTTTACCAGACATGCCCCTACTCGCGGCATAGTGAGTAGGGGCATAATTTACTAATACTAAGTAATATTTACTTAGTATTAGTAAATTTGGCTGAAAGACCAATTTAGGTCTTTCAGCCTTTTAGTAGATAGCTCCCTAATACCGTGGGAATTAGGGAGTTATCTACTTATTCATTCCTGTCATTCCATTGACAGGCTAAGTAACTTACATTTTATTTGAATGTATGTTACTTGATTGTTGTAGGTGTTGCAAATGCTTAAAGCTGAATCCTGGCTATGTTTGTATACTTTTTATTTAAAATTGTATACAATGTAACATTCTTCTTCTTTCACTGGGTAAGTATATTAGTACTTTGGCAATACTGTGCTTCGGAACTTCGGCACTTCGGCACTTTGACACTTCGGAACTTCGGCAATTTCGGAACTTCAGGACCTCGACAATTCGGCACTACAGCAATTCGGCAATTTGGACATTCAGAAGTACCCGAGTGTCCGAATTGCCCGAAATTCGTCCAAATTCATATTCGGACCGAAACGAATTGCACATGTCTAATTGTTCGTGTTTCCTGTCCTGAGGGTTAGAGGGAGGAGCTAAACCCATATGTTAAATTCTGCCATGATTAACCAGGAAAAATTATTTAAGTGTTCCAGTGACCGCGGTATTTGAAGAGGTGGATGAGTGGACCCAGCAGAATACGCTGAAATAGTGTTGACTATAAAAAAGTGGGTCAAGCACAATATGTTCACGTATAAAAAAGTAATTTAGAAAAGTCTCAATTTCTATTGAAATCTGCACTTTTTGTAAAATGAAAAAAAGAGGACACACTTCAGCAAGCAGAAGTCCTATAAGGGCCTGGAGTGTCCCTTTAATAAAAGATATAAAAATAACACATAATTTTCCTACGTCCTATCAATAGCACAAACCTGTCCAGAGAAAATGATATCCTTTCTCTCATGGGTGAAACCAGTTCCTATGTAGGACTTTAATTAATATAGTGTAATGCCTCTGGTGCCTTGTTAGTTGCAGATTAGATTAGATTTTTCAATTATTTCTCACAGCCTCCTTTGCTAAAAACGCACGGTTGGGTAAGGTTTTTAATCTGACTTTAAAAACCTATGGTTGATTGATGTAACAACAAAAAAACAGTTATACAGCAAAATGGACAATGTGCATTTTAATAATAGGACTCATATCTGTTAATATTCACAGATCTAGTGGGACACTTCTGATTTGGAACCCCAGTCTTAGTATCCTGATGAATTGAGTTGGTGGCTGTTCCAGTGTGTTTAGACTTTAGACTTGTTTAGACTTGTTCAGAAATGCTCAGCACACAGCTGGCCCCGAAGTGGCTGGTTGGCACAATTGCCAAAAGTTCCGTATAGTGGCAATCAGATACTGATCTTCCTTTTCTGAATTGTACTTTCCATTTTTGAGAGATATAAGAACCCTACCCTTTCAGATATACAGTTAGTCAGTCAAAGGAACACTACAGTGTTAGGAATACAAACTTGTATTTCCTACATTATCGGTCCTAGTCACTGTTAAGGTGATCCGATCAGTGCTGCCAGTGTTAAAATAGAAACCTTTTCTCCCTCGCAGTGCTGGCCTCCTCTGTGAAGCTCCCCCTCTTTGGCTGAGGTCATCAATGTTGTCCTATAGGAAAGCATTTAGAGGCTGGTGCACATGCGTAGCAAAATGGTGCGTTGTCTTAGACCATCTGATTAAAATAGCAGAGTTTTCCTCTGCTATTTCATGGCAGATGTCTGTGTGCCTACAGTGTTTCTTAAATGTACAGTGCCTTGCAAAAGTATTCACCCCCCTTGGCATTTTTCGTGTTTTGTTGCCTCACAACCTGGAATTAACATGGATTGTTTGAGGATTGGCATCATTTAATTTACAAAACATGCCCACAACTTTGAAGATTTTTTTGTTTTTTATTGTGAAGCAAAAAACAAATAGGACAAAATAACAGAAAAAAATCAATGTGCGTAACTATTCACCCCCCTAAAGTCAATACTTTGTAGAGCCACCTTTTGCGGCAATCACAGCTCCAAGTCACGTTGGATAAGTCTCTATGAGATTGCCACATCTTACCACTGGGATTTTTGCCCATTCCTCCTTGCAAAACTGCTCCAGCTCCTTCAAGTTGGATGGTTTGCCTTTGTGAACAGCAATCTGACCACAGATTTTCTATTGGATTGAGGTCTGGGCTTTGACTAGGCCATTCCAACACATTTACATGTTTCCCCTTAAACCACTCAAGTGTTGCTTTAGCAGTGTGTTTGGGGTCATTGTCCTGCTGGAAGGTGAACCTCCATCCTAGCCTCTAATCACGCACAGACTTGTACAGATTTTGCTCAAGAATATCCCTGTATTTAGCACCATCCATCTTTCCCTCAACTCTGACCAGTTTCCCCGTCCCAGCTGCTGAAAAACATCCCCACAGCATGATGCTGCCACCACTGTGGGGATGGTGTTCTTTGGGTGATGTGATGTGTTGGGTTTGCGCCAGACATAGCATTTTCTTTGATGGACGAAAAGTTCAATTTTAGTCTCATCAGACCAGAGAACCTTCCTCCATACATTTTGGGAGTCTCCCACATGCCTTTTCGCAAACTCAAAACGTGCCATTTTGTTTTTTGCTGAAAGTAATTGGTTTCTTCTGGCCACTCTGCCATAAAGACCAACTCTATGGAACGTCCGGGTTATTGTTGTCCTATGTACAGATACTCCAGTCTCTGCTGTGGAACTCTGCAGCTCCTCCAGGGTTACCTTAGGTCTCTGTGCTGCCTCTCTGATTAATGCCCTCCTTGCCTGTATTGGTGGGCGGCCGTCTCTTGGCAGGTTTGCTGTTGTGCCATGTTCTTTCCAACCCTGACTTGTACTTCTCAACAACATTGTCCCTTATTTGTTTGGAGAGTTCCTTTGTCTTCATGGCAGTGTTTGGTTAGTGATGCCTCTTGCTTAGGTGTTGCAGCCTCTGGGGCCTTTCAAAAAAGGTGTGTATGTAATGACAGATCATGTGACACTTAGATTACACACAGGTGGAGATCGTTACACTAATTATGTGACTTCTGAAGGTAATTGGTTGCACCAGATCTTTTTATGGGCTTCAAAACAAAGGGGGTAAATACATACGCACATGCCAATTTACTGTTTTCTATTTCTAAAAAATAGTTTTATGTATATATTTTTCGGATTTCACTTAACCAACTTACACTATTGTGTTCTGATCCATCACATAAAATTCAGATTAATAAAACATTGAACTTAAGACTGTAATGTAACAAAATAGGTAAAAAGTCAAGGGGGGTGAATACAGTGGCGTACATACCAGGGTCGCAGGGGTCGCGGCTGCGACCGGGCCCGGCCCACCAGGGGGCCCGGCCGCCCCTGCGACCCGGTATGCAGCCACAGGGCAGCCTCTTCTCCTGGGGGGGCACAGGAGGTGGCCACCTCAGGCCCCCCCGAGGCTGGCCCTGCTGTCACCGGGCAGGTGGCCGGTCGGGCAGGCGGGAGGGCGCGCGAGGGAGCACTCTCTGTGTGCTTCCTCTGCAGCTCCCTCGCGCACCGCACTGATGCCGGAGCCGGAAGATGACGTCATCTTCCGGCGCCGGCATCCCTACGCAGCGCGCGAGGGAGCTGAAGAGGAAGCACACAGAGAGTGCTCCCTCGCGCGCCCTCCCGCCTGCCCGACCGGCCACCCAGTGACCTGCCGCCCGCCCACCCAGTGACCTGCCGCCCAGGAGCCCAGCAGCACCACTGAACCCCAGGGAATCCCCCCAGCACTCCAAAAGGTAAGGAGGCTGGGGGGATTAAATTTTAAAAAAAATGTGTCTGTTAGTGTATGTGTGTGTTAGAGTGTGTGTGTGTTAGTGTATGTGTGTGTGTGTGTTAGTGTGTTAGAGTGTGTGTTAGTGTATGTGTGTGTGTTAGTGTGTTAGAGTGTGTGTTAGTGTATGTGTGTGTGTTAGTGTATGTGTGTGTGTGTGTTAGTGTGTTAGAGTTTGTGTTAGTGTATGTGTGTGTTAGAATGTGTGTGTGTGTTAGTGTGTGTGTGTGTTAGTGTATGTGTGTGTGTGTTAGTGTATATGTGTGTTAGTGTGTGTGTGTGTTATTGTGTGTGTGTGTGTGTTAGAGTGTGTGTGTGTGAGTGTGTGTGTGTGTGAGTGTGTGTGTGTGTGTGTGTGTGTGTGTGTGTGTGTGTGTGTGTGTGTGTGTGTGTGTGTGTGTGTGTGTGTGTGTGTGTGTGTGTGTGTGTGTGTGTGTTAGTGTGTGTTAGTGTATGTGTGTGTTAGAGTGTATGTGTGTTAGTGTGTGTTAGTGTATGTGTGTTAGAGTGTGTGTGTGTTAGTGTATGTGTGTTAGTGTGTGTGTGTTAGTGTGTGTGTGTGTTAGTGTGTCAGTGTTTGTTTGTGTTAGTGCGTGTGTTAGTGTGTGTGTCAGTGAATGTGTCTGTTATTGGGTGTGTGTCTGCTAGTGAGTGTGTTACTGTGTGTGTCTGTTACTGAGTGTGTTTGATGTCTGTTAGTGAGTGTGTGTTTGTCAGTGAAAGTGTATGTTTTGTGAGTGTGTATGTATGTCTGTCGCTGAGTATGTCTCTGTCAGTAAATGTGTGTGTCTGTTAGCTAGTGTGTATGCGTCTGTTCGTGAGAGTGTGTGTGTCTTCAGCATTTACCTTTCTCCAGCGTCGGACTCCCCAGTGTCCGCCACTCAGCTCCAAAATGCACATGCGCGGCAAGAGGCGCGCGCGCGCATTTAAACCGCCCATAGGAAAGCATTACTCAATGCTTTCCTATGGACGTTAGTGTCTTCTCACTGTGATTTTCACAGTGAGAATCGCGGAAGCTCCTCTAGCAGCTGTCAATGAGACAGCCACCAGAGGCTGGATTAACCCTCAGTGAAACATAGCCGTTTCTCTGAAACTGCTATGTTTTCAGCTGCAGGGTTAAAACTAGAGGGACCTGGCACCCAGACCACTTCATTGAGCTGATGTGATCTGGGTGTCTGTAGTGGTCCTTTAAGTGTGTATGCATACCGCGGTCGCGGAGTCGCAGCCCTGCGACCAGGTGCCCGCCACCATGTGTTGCAACCCCGACCCGCACCGAGTAAGCGCGGGGGGGGGGGCCACGGATCAATTTTTGCACCGGGGCCCCATGGGTCATGTGTACGCCACTGGGTGAATACTTTTGCAAGGCACTGTATAGCAGGGGCTGACTGCACTCACCTGAATATGCATAAGTAGGGTGCTGCTGGGAGCCAGTTTATACAATAAAAACAGAAAATCCAGCGCTCTCCATTATTCCCTAAACAGCAACTTCAGTGCTGACAGATTTAGTTAGTTTTTTTTTGTTTTGTTTTGTAAAAACACCTAATCCAGGCAAAAAAATATGCGGGTCTAGTTACATTATATGATCATACATTGCATAAGCCTGCCACAACGTCAATGTACCCCATCTTACCCCATAATATGTGTAGGCAATGTCACTCTAATAATCAAAGAAAAAGCAGATTCATGAGGGAAGAAGACACTTGTTCTCTTGCCCTATGCTGCGGATGCTCATGATCAGTAGAGATTTAATAATGTAATATTGCATCTCTGTTTAATCAGCACCCAATATGTGATGTTTTATTGTATATTCTTTTATGCTCCATTTATGCTGATGCCAGCTTTGTATTTGATGACGTATCAGTGCAAGAAATAAATAAAAAGTTTAAATAAAATAAAAATTGTATAGAACACAAACAAACTAACATAAAAAGTATTATTGCAGTGGACAGACTTCTTTTTCCTGTTGCTATTATCCTTTGCTTTTTACATCGAACAGCACTGAATCTAACAACTGAATCAGAGACTGGCCAATCAGACCTCATCTCCTTGGAGCTCTTCAATTAACTTGTGTTCAAGAGCTGCCTGGCATGATGAGATAGCTTTGATGACTTTTCAGATCTGCAACTACAGATGATAGCACAGCAGCTTAATCATACGTGTATTCAAGACAGCGTGGTTATGGTGTCTGGAGAGCTTTGTTGGATAGAAAACTGATCCATGATCCTTTTAAGAGTTAAAGGAATACTGTAGCATTAGGAATACATATCTGTATTTTTAGCGCCACAGTCATGATGCCCATTATCATTTAGGTGTCCCCCCCTATGTGTCACAAAACAAAATAAATGAAAAAACCATTAACTCTTCTTTTCTTTAGTGCTGACAATCCCTCGATGCTGCTGTGACCACCTCCTTGAGTTACATCATCCTGGAGGCACGACACCAGGATGATGGGCCAATCCAATAGAGGAGTAATGGGAAATGTAGGTTACATGGTCAAAGGGGTTTCCCAACAATGAACCGACAAGGCTTTGAAAGTTAGGACCACCTCTGCTCAGATTAAATGATCAAGATACTTAGACTTAAAGGAACACTATAGGGTCAGGAACACGAACATGTATCCCTGACCCTATAGTGTTAAAAACACCAAGTAGCCCCCCTGCCCCATCTCCTTTACCCCCCTAAATATAATAAAATCTTACCTTTATTCCAGTCTGCTGGTGCTGGCTCTGCCCCTGATTTGCCTCCTTGGCTGGCATCAATCATTGGATTTGCTAAGATTGTCAAGGAGGCAGATCAAAGGCAGAGCCACCACAAGCCAAACACAGCTCCGATCAATCAGAATCTGCTCATTGAAATGCATTGGATTAATGCATCCCTATGAGGAAAGTTCAGTGTCTCCATGCAGAGGGTGGAGAAACTAAATGTGAGAAACTGCCCAAGGAAGCACCTCTAGTAGCCATCTGAGGAGTAGCCACTGGAGCTATCCCTAGGCTGTAATGTAAATGTAGTGGGCTCTGTGTAACCCGGCTGGTTTCCCCCGCTATTAATGTATAAAGAGACCCATTTCTCCCAGTAACTGGACGACACACAGTTCCAGGGGTACAAAGTTTGACAATCTTTATTAGGACACACAGCTTTTTATGCACAGACTCCAACAGGTGGTCTCCATCCAACACAACACAATCCCAAGCAGGAGGGGGCAGGGTTACAGATAACCATCTCCCGCTCTGGGAGATACCAATAGTATGCAGGGACACACATGAAAACACATTACATACAGGGTTAACTTTGGGACTCTGCGCCCCTGGAAGGGAAGTGGAGGTGTTACAGGGTTGGAACTCAAATTGCTAAATAGTTCCGGGTCCCATCTGGGATCCCTGCAAAAAGCAGGGCGATTGAATGTACAGAGCCCAAGATATCATCATCCAAAGTCTGGAGCTCTAGGCTCTGTACATCCCCGGAATTAATTCCATGGTGTTGCCTGGTTTAGTCCAGCGATTTCAAACTTCGTGCCTAAACCAAGCAATAACCAATCAGCTGAAAGTGCGTGAACCAAATATCGTCAATCAGCGTTCGGGGGAGGAAGGAGTTTCGCCACCCAATCCGAAGAATGGGCGCGAAATACGGTTGCATCAATCGGTGTTCGGGGAGGAGAGAGGTTTCGCGGCCCAATCGGAAGAAAGGGCGCAAAACCCCATTTGAACGGGCACTCCTGCTCTGATTGGTTGCGGTTTAATCCACTGGTCACATTTATAAACAATGGACAGATAAAGCATGTTTTTTATGGTGTTGAAACCAAAAAAAAAGAATCGATAATGAAATCGATAATATGCAATAACATTTAGCATTATTTATATTTTGTTATTATAACATACACATACGTCTCAATTTAAAATTGTTGTATTAGTTTTCCAAAATGATTTAATATTTTTGGATAATCCTTTAAACTATTTTTTTCTAAATATTAAAATATAAAACAATATGTCACATGTAAAAATGCATATCAATAAGTAAACAAAAATATCAAAATACTACAAAATTAAAATAGTTTTCATAATATTAAATCATTTGAAAAGTTTATCAAAAATATTAAATCATTTGGAAAGCTTATCAATATTAAATTGAAGCCATTGGTTGGAAATCATCGCTTTGATGACTGAGGTACAAATAGACAAAAATATAAAAAAAATATATTTTTCTAACGTACCATAAAGGCATATGGATTCTGATAAATGAATGCTTCTTAGGAGAGTTGATGAACTAATTGCCTTAATATGTAATTAAGTTGCAAAGATTAACATGCTGCTTTACACATCAGAAAGACACAGCCGTCACATCGGAAAATCAGAAATTAATCCGTTTACAAGCTCTGTCTCAAGCTGAGGAACAAGCTCTACACCAGGCATATGGATGTGCTAGTCTGTGTTATGTAAGCTGCTGAAAACCTTTGCTGCGTGACTTTAGAATCCTCACTCTGCCAATCTAATACTGAGTAAAAAAATAAATAAAAAAGGCTTACACGATGCATTCAGAGATTAAGCAAATAATCGTGATTTGCAGCTTCCAAATTATAAAAGGTTCTAAAACAAAGGTATGTGCCATGTTTGCCCATGCACACTTTAATGCAGGGTTAATTTGCCCTCCCGGGCTCCCCCTGCCCTTTGTCCAATTCAGATTCCTAATACATTCTTTCATCAGTTTGAGTTGAGTAGCTTTCAGACAGGATAGGTCATGACACTTTCTATCTAGAGCAAAAATTAGAATTATATAATTATAATCAGACAAACTAGACTGGAAGAAACGTCACATTTAATGCATTATTAAGATAAACAAACATGCAAACGGAAAACATTAAAAAAGAAGAGGACACTGCAACTGCCCCCTTGTACAAGCAATTTGGTGCAGTAGATAGCCCCTTCTAGACATGAACAAGGCTCCAATGGGAAAAATACCTAGCAATTAAATCTGCTAGCACAATGTATAGATGTAATTCCATCCTCTTTTAAAACGGCATAGATTGTAGGTACCGTGACAGGCACCCTTTTAGTCCACCATGAAAGGGCTGTCTCTGCAGCACTTTAGGCCACCAGGCAAAGCAGGGCACTGAGGCCCTCCCTACACAACTACTCACATGAATATAAATGCAAATTGTCGATAAAATGAAGCTTATATTTATTGGTACCCCCAACAAAATCAGTGTTTAAACATTACAAAACAGATTCACCCACACAAACGTTTGGAAAATATAACCATGAGCCTTGAAGTTGGAAAACAAGAAATTCAAAATAAAAATGGTACATTGTTGGTAAATTACGCAGACAGAGAGGGTACAATATGAAATTACTAGGAATTATTGATTATTAGTCAAGTGTTCAACACAAACATTTGTGAAACAGTTGGCAGGCATATTGGGCCCCTATGCTCCTGAGGCCCCCAGTTCACTACCCAGTGTGCCCATGTGTTAAGACGGCTCTGCACAATAAACCATAATAAGCCATGTGGAGTTGGCTACAAACAGATGGATACAATGCATGTGACATTAGCACGGGGTTACAATGAGATTTCATTTCAGCCAATGAGATCTCACACTTACATCACATACTCAGTGTCAGTCAGTCTTTAGGGTGGTCCACATGATTTATTAAGGAGGGAGAGATAAAAGGCATTAGAGACGTGCAAAAGAAGCAGCTGCTTTTGCCCCAGGGGAACATGTATGCTCTGGGCAGTTTCCCCTTTTGCCCTTTGTAAGATGGCTTTCATTCCAATTGCAGGCACGAGCTGAATAACAAATGATCTTATCTAATGCTATTTATTTTTTAAATATTGCTGGAGAGATTACTGAGGCACAATATCCTGTATTTATATGCAATATTATTATTAGTGGGAATCAACATGAAACAGAAGCGAAATTTTTTTGTCAAATTGAAATTTTGCTTTACAGACACTCCTCACTTACCGACCGGGTTCCGTTCCTATGACCCGGTCCTAGAATGAATTGGTCGGTAAGTGAGGAGTTAAGGGATTCCCTGCTCTGGTGCGCTTGTCTATATATTTGGGGAAATTACCCCGAACATAGACGAACGCACAAGAGCAGGGAATCCCTCTAATCTATGCTCGGGGAAATTTCCCTAAACATAGATTAGAGGGATTCCCTGCTCTGTTGCTTTCGTCTATGTTCGGGGAAATTTCGCCGAACATAGGTGAATGCAGCAAAGCATGGAATCCCTCTAATTCCCACAATGGTTCACACTTACTACCCCACGAGTGAGCTGGTTGTAAGTGCGAACCGTCGTAAAACAATTAGGTTGCAAAACGAGGTCCATCTGTATTTAATACAATGAATCCAATCCGATTAGCCTCTAAAAAGATTTTCAATATGATATTTATTGTATTTTATTTTACAATGATCAGCTTGTAAGCTTTTAATCAGAATATTCAGAATTTTCAATGAAACTCTGAAGACAACAGGGAGGGTTTCATTCCTTAAGTTCAACTGTAGTTCAGAGTAGAGATGTATCAGGCTGTTGTGAGGAGACTCTCATTGTAAAGGTGAGTTTAAACAATGTTTTAATAGTTTATAATGCCTTAACAAGAGTGGGGATCAGTAATATAATTCCATATTTTGGAAGAGTATATTTTGTAAATACTGGGTCTGTATCCATAGTGTTCTGCACTATTGCTTGGTTTTGGGCATCATTGTGAACACTGGAACACTGTTGCCAATTTTAAAACTGTTTAAATTGCATGTACACATGAACCTTGTGTTATATGGTATCAAAGCATACACAAGGTGTTTTTTAAAAAATTATTATTATTTTTTAATTAAACCTTTTGTCTAGCTAATCCGTACAGTTTAATAATGTTTAATAATTCTGGAGAATCTCAGTCCCTTGGATATATTTGCCTAGCCCAATGTTATTTTTACAAAATTGTGCTATTGCTATGCCTTGCCAATATCCTACTATATTGTTTTTTCTGTGCTTGACAATGTTGTCATAGCATCGTCGGCCTGTTTGTTATCTTATGCACATCAAAAATAAAGAATGACGAAAAAATTAATTAATCTTTTACAACATCGAATTCACACACAATTTAAATGAAATTAAGTATAATAACAACACAAAATGCCATATACAGAAACATGGAGAGTTGGGGGAATTTTGAAATCCTAGGATATTTTGTGATATCAGAATTAGCTTTAAAAACCTCCCACTAGATGGCTGTAATTAATAAACTTCCAAACTGAAGCCCACGTTTACACATATTAGACCTCATTTAATAGCCAGATTCTAGGCATTTCAAATACAATTGTGGTGGATTTCCTTCATGAAAGAACCACTAAAATTACCCAGACCATTTTATCTAATTGAATTGATCTGTAGTTTTAACCCTGCAATTTAAAGAATAGACATTTTGTCTCCCAGACTGCTTCTAGAGGTGCTTCCTGTGTAGCAACTGAGTCAACCTTGGTCATGTGATGTTCGACCTCCATGAAGACGTCAAACATCATAATGTACTATTTATAGGAAAGCACTGAATTCAATACTTTCCTGTAAGAAGTATTTAATTGGATGCGTGCGCAGCACTTGCCCCGATTGTGCATCCTCTATGTGGAGAATTGGAATGGACTAGAACCCTGGATGATGTTGTGGGAGGAGAAGTAGACAGCAGCGTAAGGGAGTCTCAGTGCTGGAGACAAGGTAAAAGTAAAGTAATTAAAAGTCTTTATTTTCAGGTTCACTGCAGACAGGGGTTGGGGGAGTGTAAAACTTTTAAGACACTAGAACACAAGCGTTATTAATACAAATAGGAATACAAGTTTGTACTATAGTGTTTCTTTAAAATCAGTGACCATTTTTTTTTACAATCTTTATTTGCATTTTCTTAATACATTTTTGCAGTTCTGTGTACAATTTCAGACATTCAAGTAACACTTTGACATATTGCAAGACATGGTATCAGTCATCCTCAATAGTATATCGTATGTGATACACAAACAACAGTTGTCACCGTAGATTGGCATAACCATCTTTTGGGAGGCGCTCATACATCTCCCGACTCCAATCCTGTTTCCTTAACAATTATTTTGTCTCCATAATAGTCATGGAATTATAACTGCTTACAGTGGTGTTGTATAGGGCAGTACCAAAGTGTGCATTAATACATAAGGCAGACTGGGTCGTTAGATTAACAATTTACGCCATCAGTGTACATTGGTTTCCTTTCAGTACAAGACATCATCATAGTGGGAGTATATTCGTATTGGAATAAGCGTTTGGGCCTCGGGAAGCATAGGCACATTATTATGTTATTTATTATTATGTTATTATTATTATTATTATTATGTTATTGACATAACCGTGTGCTTATTGTTTGTAACAATGCAGATCTTCTGTTTGTCTAAAGGGCGTTTGTGGACTTTGTTCGCTGTTGTGCGTCTGGCGTATATTTTGTATGCGTGTTAATCTGTGTTTGTCTACAGATGCCAGTGGTTGCATTAGTTGCGTGCGGTCTTGCCATTTGAAACGTTGAGTATAGCATGGACTGTGTGTTGGGTCATCCCCACTTAGTTTCAGGTGTGTTTGTAGCCACAGGTTTAGTCGTGGACTGGTGAACCTGTCCTAACGCTCTTTGTGTCAGTGTTGTGTGTCATGGCTGTGGAGGTATACGAGTCAGGGGATTGATCCACTGCGAATAATGCGGGAAGTAGTCAGGCTCTGGGGGAGGCTAATGATAGAGGGGAAACAGCTGAAGAGAAGAAGGAAGGAAGAAAGAAGGAGCTGAGTATGAGGAGTGTGTATGCAAGTGACTGCCTTCCTCCATTCTCACCCCTTGCCGCACCCTGGCACCTCCCGCAGCACCTCGCCCATCATTGGAGGATCCTATTTAGCATGCCCTCCTGTACGGGGCCCCTGAGATGTACATGAGCCATGGAGTCCAGGTTTGCACACACGTCTCGTGCGTCCCCATAGGGCAGCTGTCAAGGACTCCATATTGTGTATTTCATCGACCTTGGCTACCCATTGCTGGAGGGTGGGGACATCTGTTCGTTTCCAATGTAGTGGGATCAGGGATTTAGCTGCAGTTAGCAGTGGGAGGGTCAGTGATTTTTTGTAGTGTTTCAATGTTGTCATGGTGCAGCAACATGGTCAGAGGTTGAAACACTATGGTTGTGCCTGTGATTTCCTGTATCTTATTATGTATCATCTGCCAATAAGGGGCAATGGCAGGGCATGACCACCATATGTGGAGGTTGGTCCCCTCGTCCTGTCCACATCGCCAACATTCCCGCGAGTAACCTGCGTTCATTCGGTGTAGGACGTCTGGCGTCCGGTACCAGAATGTTAGCACTTTGTAGCTCATTTCCTGGAACTTAGAGCTAATGGAGCATTTGTCGTGATGGTTAAGATTTTGTCCCATTCCTGGTCTGAGAGGGTGACTCCTGTTTTTCTCTCCCATCTACTTGTCTACCCGAGTGCTATGTCACCTCTATTGGACATAGGCAGTGTGTACATGGTTGAGATGCCTTTGTGACTTGTTCCCTCCTGGCACAGAGCGTCTCGAACTGTGTCAGAGATCTGTGTATCTGTCCCCGGCCGGATAGGGAACCATAGTATGTCTTAACTTGGTGTTATCGGAACTGTTCCAATGGGGTCGGTGGTCTGTCCAGGATCAACACAGTGATGGGATGTAGTTGGTAGGGTGTGCACCAATGGTGCATGTGCATCCAGTTTGCTACCTGGTGTCCCACCAAGTCGCATGCGCTCAACCCACCTGCCAGGTCTGGGTTATTTGTGATTGGGATAAGTGGCCTGGGTGATGTCGTCAGTTGTCTGGAAAACGGAGCGCGCACCAGACGCCCAGTATGGCATCTGTCAAAGGGTTATATGTACGTAGTGAGCTTAGAGTCCCTTTACCCAGCCAAAGCGCAGATGGGATTTTGCCCTCTGCTTGTTGGGTCTCTAAAGACACCCATAGCTTCTTTGCAGGGTATGTGTGCCAATCTAGGCATCTATGCAAGTGGGCAGCATGGTAGTACGTTAGAATTGATGGGAGACCCACCCCTCCAGCTGACTTGGGTAGCTCCAGGAGGACCCGCCAAAGTCTGGTCTGTCGATTGTTCCACACAAACCTCCATATCGCCGTGGTGAGGGTATTAAAGAATGTCCTAGGGATGGTGATCGGGATGGTTTGGAATAGGTACAGTATACGCAGCAAGACATTCATCTTAACCGCGTTGACCCGACCAAACCATGAGACGTATTGAGGGGTGTTGCATGTCTTTTTGGAGTGTGTCTAGCAGGGGAAGATAGTTAAGCCGGTACAGTTGGGTGAGATCCTGTGTCAGCCAGATGCCCAAGTATCTCAGTTTACCATGCACCACTTGAAGGGGAACTCTGCCTGTAGGAGTGCGGTGGAAGCTGGGTCTTGTGGCAGGTGGAGCGCCTCTGATTTGTCCATGTTCAATTTCAGATTGGAGACCTAACCGAACTGCCTAAAAGACTCCAGCAGGTTTGGCAGGGAGACCCTGGGTTGTTCCAGGAAGAAGAGCAGATCATCTGCATATGCTGCGACTCGATGCTCTCCCCCACCCAAGGTGAACCCAGTAATACCCCTGTCCTGCCTGACCGCCTCCAGAAAAGATTTGGGAGAGAGGGTAAACAGAAGGGGTGACAGGGGACACCCTTGGCGGGTCCCATTTCATATAGGGAATGGTGCAGTTAATGCTCCGTTGACGCAGATTCGGGCCGTGGGGGTTGTGTATAGGGACTGCACCCAAGCATGCATAAGTGGTCCGACTCCCATACGTTGCAGTGCGGCTGTTAGGTAATGCCAGTCTACCCGGTCGGAAACCTTCTCCGCGTCTGTGGAGAGACGCACCAGTTCTTTGTTGGTCTACCGGGCGGCATGGTTAATGTTGAGGGCTCTGATGGTGTTGTCGCGCCCCTCTTGACCCGTGATAAAACCCACCTGGTCAAGGTGGATCAGACCTGTCAGGGCCCTTGATAGTAGGAGGGCCATCGCTTTTGCGAACAGTTTGAGGTTCGCATTCAAGAACGAGATGGGTCGATAGCTCGAGCAACTTACTGTGTCCTTACCCTCTTTTGGTATGTTACCACCGCAGCCAGGAGTGATAATTTTTTATGGCACATTAAGTGTTAAAAGATTTTTGAGAAATTTGGAAAGCAGATTTTTATAATTTAAGTACAGTACGATGGACATATGAATTGAAGGCTTTCTAATGCCTCTTTTACAACATATATCCGTTCTGTAGTTAATGGGAGTACATGGGCTGTCATTAGTATGCAAATTACTTCTATTCAGTTTTAATGATTTCAGGTATGAAACCCATGATGCTAACTTTACAACATAAACCCTATAATGTTAAAAACAAGCAAAAAAAATTATATAATCCACTCCACTCCGTGGTTATGCCATCGTGTGACGCACCAGCTGAATGCGTCCTCTGTTACTTCTTTGCAGTTGTATGAATCACCTTCATGTAAAACAGAAATGGGTTTGTGAAAGAAAAAAAATATGTGGCTCAAATTATGGATTTGTGGCTTTTTTTTATAAATATCCCTAGTGGAATCTTTGTCTGCTTTTAAAAAATTATGCACTGTGTGATGGAGTTCTATGTTCTAATATTACATTTATTGAGGATAGGGCTTAAAGCTGAACTGTCACAAGTTATATTTTTGCTAAACCAGGTAGTCAACTAAAAGTTAACTATGAGTTCTGCTATTTGTATTCTTTATTTTCAAACTGTTTCATGTTTTAATGTACATGGTATGGCTTGCTGCCATTGAGTATATCAAATAAATGCAATTATCCTTCTATGGTTCCATATCATAACTGCCAACATATCAAATGGACTATGAGTTTGCACTTTAATTTTAGGGGTGTGAGTGGTGGTGTGTCCAGGAGGTGGGCTGTTCTGAGAAATTTTATGTGACTTACTAATAATTATTATTATCTGTATTTATATTGCGCCAACTAATTCCGCAGCGCTTTACAATATTATGAAGGGGGTGGGGGGACTTACAGTAAATGAGACAATTACACAGGAACAATAGGTAGATGATGGCTCTGCTCACACGAGCTTACAGTCTAGAGTAGCATTTCCCAATTGGGGTTCGGCGAGAACACAAATGGGGTTCCGCCAAAATGTTGTGAAACAAAATGGCTGCGGTAGGAAAGGGAGCACTCTCCTCGCCTCAGCTCCCTCACGCACACAGCAGTAATGCCAGAGCCTGAATATGATGTCACTCCAGCATCACTAAGAGAGGCACAAGGGAGCTGTGCAGGAAGATCACTGCTCCCTCGCCTCCCACACGCCAGACGCACAGCAGCCCCACTGGACCACAGGGACAGCATGTCAGCCGCTCAACAGCCCCACTGGACCCCAGGAACTTCACGCCCGTTGTTTAGCAGCCCCACTGGATCCCAGGGACTACAGGAACATAAAGACTCCATGCCAGCACTCCCAAAGGTAGGAATGCTGGGTGGAGTAAAATAAAAAAATAAATTGTATGTGTGACTGTTAGAGAGTTTGTATGTGTTTGTGTGTCTGTCAAAGAGTGTATCTGTGTTTGCCAGTGAGTGTGTGAGTGTGTATGTGTTTGTCAGTGAGAATGTATGTGTGCTTGTCAGTGAGAGTGTATATGTGTTTGTATGTATGTCTGTCAAAGAGTATGTGTGTTTGTCAGTGAGAGTGTATGTATGTCTGTCAAAGAGTATCTGTGTCTGAGTGTGTGTCAGTGTATGTATCTGTGTGTCAAGGTTTGTGTATGTGTCACTGTGTGTTTCTGAGTGTGTGTATGTCAGTATGTGTGTATTGGTGTTGTGTGTGTGCCAGTGTATATCAGTGTGTTTGTATGTGTGTAAATGACACTGTGTGTATGTGTCAATGAGTGTATCTGATTGTATGTATGTGCCAGTGTGTGTATCTGTGGGTGCACGTGTGTATATGTCAAAGTGTATATCTGAGTGTGTGTGTATTTGTGAGTCAATATGTGTGTATGTGTCACTGTATGCATCTGAGTGTGTGTGTATGTGTGTCAAGGTGTGTGTGTCTGTGTGTCAGTATGTATCTGTGTGTCACTATGTGCCAGTGTGTGTAACTGTGTGTCAGATACATACACACACACACACACATATACACACTGGCACACATATACACACACTGGCACATACAAACACAGATACACACACACATTGACACAACCTGCTACATACAAACACATACACACACTTTGACACATAGATACACACACCTTGACACATAGATACACACACACACACATACACATACACACACACACACACACACACACACAGATACAGACTGTGTGTCAAGGTGTATGTATCTGTGTGCCACTACGTGCCAGTGTGTGAGTATCTGTGTGTCAGATTCATACACACTGACACACAGATACACACACTGGCACATACAAACACAGATACACACACCTTGAAACACAGATAGACACACTTTAAAACACAGATACACACACCTTGACACACAAATACATACATACACACACACAGATACACACTGTGTGTCAAGGTGTGTGTATCTGTGTGTCAGTATGTGTATCTATTTGCCATTATGTGCCAGTGTGTGTATATCTGTGTGTCAGATACATACACACACAGATACATATTGACACACAGATACAGACTCTGGCACATACAAACACAGATACACACACCTTTACACACTGGCACATACAAAAAACAGCACAATTAAAAAAAAAAAAAATTTTACCGGGGGAGAGGGGGAGGGGGTTCCATGATGTTGATACACTATGTCAAAAGGTTCCACGGGAAAAATTAATTGGGAACGCCTAGTCTAGAGGAACAATTTATACAACTAAAGTGCTATTTAGAACAACAACAATGTATTGTATTTACACAGACTGAATTCTAAACACATTTATTGTAGTTTGAAGACATATTATTGCTGGTATAATTGCTGTGGAGCCCCTAGAAATGAGGGACATCATGATAGTAAAAAGGGACAGAGGGACCAAAAATAGGGACTGTCCCTACTAAATACTGACAGTTGAGTGGTATGTATACTTTTCAGTGAAAGGAGACCCTGTGTGTAGATGCATGCCATTTTAACTAAATATTTCCAGGAACGCATGACTGAGCCAGAGCACAGAACACAGATGTACTGTGGTGTGTAGGTAAGGGGTTCTATATTTAGCCTTGCTACAGTATTCATCCAAGTAAGCACTTCAGTAGAAGAAATAGTAAGGAAACGAACAACTGTTACCTCCAAAGTAATGACATCTCTGTTTTAAAGTCTGTGACTTGGAATAATTTCTATGCCCAAGAATCATTGTAAACTATGAAAAAATATGATATTATAAAAACATTTGTGTGTGTTTTTAATCCCTGTAAACCTTAGTATGTTACAGAATGACGTTCATTTAGATTGGATATATTGTTATTGACATTATTAAATATTTTAACAAAGCAATTAAAAACTAGCATGTTTTATATTTAAATATATAATTTACCAGAGCAAGCACTATGGGAAATGTAGTTCACAAACATCCACGGTATCAATCCCTGTTATATATGTTTTGTATCACACAACTGTATATTTATGTTAACATACTTAACCACTGTGTAATTTTAGTTATATATATATATATATATAGTGATTTTGGTTAGTATTTAAAAAAACATTTGGAAATCTTATTTCACAAGAGTTTAGCAGAAAGTGTTAAATTAGCTTTTTCTCCTCTAAACCTAGAATTAATTAGTTGAGAAAAATAATCTAATCATTACGAAATTACTAAAAAAATTTTTTAAAAAATCCCTAAATCTTGCAGATATTCCTCAGAGCATCCTATTCCCTAATCTTTTAGATGTGGGCACTTGCAGAGACATGTGGAATCATGGGTAAAGTGAAAATCTATCTACAGGAGATTTGGCGCAAGTACTAGGCATCATGATCCTTCACTTAGCATTCAGTAGTGACAGCTTGTCGAAGTCAACTAAAACTTTGTGGCTGTGAGAGCACAACATGAGAATCGGCCCACACATTGTTTAGTTGGAGTATAATGGAATTCTCAATTAAGTCAGGGAATAAAAACCAAATTTGACTCTTTTTCACTATGCTAGCAGTTGCAACATTTTGCCTAAGTTTTTTAGCTCTGTCGTCACTAACTCCCTTTGTGGTTTATTCACTAAACACCAAACTGTATTGAGCTGAAAACAGAATAGTAAAGACTAAACAAGTCCGCCATAGTTTTATATTTGCAATTCTAGCATAATGTTTTCAATTTGGTTTTAAATCCCCTTAAATTTAGAGTCTAGTGATTAACCTCACATGAGTTTTGTCCGTAGGCAACCTGTCCCATGGGTATGATTTACCTTCCTCATGAAATGGGTTTAGGCAATGTTCCTAGCCCGGACATGTCATTTGCCACAATAATATTAAAAGAAAAGATGCCATTTGTTTTAGTTATTCCTGCTTTTTAGTTATTGTTCTAAATATAATTTCCTTTCCTGCAGAATTTTTTACTTTTTATTTTAATATTGACAAAAAATATTTCTGAGAGAACCAGGTGAAAGTGAAACTCTTCCAGATTCATCAGTCATCGAAAGTGTTAGGAAACCTTGGTCAAATGCGAAAAGCACCACTGTTTATGCACATTCTGCTGTCTCACCATTAACTGAACGTCACATGTTTGTAAACCATTGGTGTCAGTTCCAAATCCGCAGTACAAAACATTCTGGAACATTTACAATGTGTCCTAATAATATTTGCCAACTATAAAAACCCTTAGCTGATTTTAGCTTCTCATAAATCGATTCCAATTTCTACACCTCTGGTGAGAAATCATTGGAAAAGGAAACACATAATCAAGTACCCACTGTGCCAAGCCTTACGTATCAATAAGTGATGGGATAATACAGGTTATTTGTAAAAGAGTGATGCAACATTATACAAAGGATCAGATTCTGCAAAGAATGACACATGTTATCTGCGTTCATTGTGTGTCAGAAGAATTCACAGTCTCCAGAGAGATGCAAGCCCATTGAAGACACTATGGTGCAGTACTTTAGGAAATGTGATCCACAGCAGAAGTACTAATTGTCTATGCACATAAGGTTAATGAGAATATAATTGGTTTATGTATACGTATACTAGTTATATTCACTTTAACCATTTGATTGACGGTAGTGTCTGTAACAGTGAATTAAAATTGTGTTAATGCCCAGCTTGCAATTTAAACAGGGACTATGTTTTACACAATGCACTTATAGGCAAATAAGTATTTTAATGTACACACCAAGGGCCATAAGCGCAACATCTTATTTTAGTGGTTAGGTGCTAGGCTGCAGTGGATTGAGTCCCTTGGTTTTATGCCAAGCTATTATCTCTATAATCTATTTATAATTTATACTTATTTAACCACGTTCTATTTTTTTTCCATATGAATGCAAGGATAACATTAGCTTACAGGCACTTCTTTCTGTTTGATAATGCATATGCTTTTTCAGCAGTGTATGCTGATCGATCGCTGAGCTTAGCCTCACATTTTTAACTCTCATGTTACAAATGTTGACCAGAGAGAAAATGGAGGGCGTAAGCATTGGAAGCATATTAACCCCTTAAGGACACATGACACGTGTGACGTGTCATGATTCCCTTTTATTCCAGACGTTTGGTCCTTAAGGGGTTAAAATACTGATACTATATAGGTTCACCATAAGAAAGAAAGGCCCATAAGTTTAAAAAACGTGTGTGTGTTTTAAACAAAAATTAATTTAAAAAAAGTAGAAAAATATACAAATGGAAAAAATGCTCCCTGTAATATTTAGGATTTAAAGGCTGCAGCACTGCAGAAAGAAAATCAGTTCATTAGCCAGGAAGTAATTATGAATTTAGTTTAGTGATTTCCCTCCTGATTCATATGATTTCCGAATTTTTCATCTGCGGCCTGTCTTAAAACAGGTACAAAACAAAAAGTAATCCCTAACTTTACAGGACAGATTGCAAACAAGATACAAAAATCAGACAGAATGATTTTAGAGAGAGACAAAAATTGGAGAAGATGTTACTCATGGAATAAATACACGGCAAATCCATTTTAATAAATTTATTTATTACTGGTATTTATACCACGTTACTTAGATCCACTCTACATTGAAACTGACATGTTTTGACTTTAGCTCTTTTAACCGAGCTTAAGCATAGAATGTGCTAACGGTTTTGCTAGCGAATGTATAGATTTGGAGAAAAGCCTATTTAAAAAATAGTTTTTTTTTCTCCTATCTGTTTCTCAATTCCTCAGCAGGTACTCAATGCCCAGGAATTAAAAGCCAGGGAGAGCAGAGTAGACCTCTCTACCCACAGCAACCACGGTGCATGCACTGTGTCCATATGGTAACTCTCTAGCTGTCACTAATAGGTGTTTGTGTTTAGTTTAAGGATAGGTGATCGGGTTTAGTTTAAGGATACGTGTTCGGGTTTAGTTTAAGGATAGGTGATCGGGTTTAGTTTAAGGATACATGCTTGTGCTTAGTTTAAGGATAGGTGATCGGGTTTAGTTTAAGGATACATGCTTGTGCTTAGTTTAAGGATAGGTGATCGGGTTTAGTTTAAGGATAGGTGATCGGGTTTAGTTTAAGGATAGGTGTTTGTGTTTAGTTTAAGGATAGGTGATCGGGTTTAGTTTAAGGATAGGTGATCGGGTTTAGTTTAAGGCTACGTGTTCGGGTTTAGTTTAAGGATAGGTGTTTGTGTTTAGTTTAAGGATAGGTGATCGGGTTTAGTTTAAGTATACGTGTTCGGGTTAAGTTTAAGGATACGTGTTCGGGTTAAGTTTAAGGATAGGTGTTCGGGTTTAGTTTAAGGATAGGTGTTTGTGTTTAGTTTAAGGATAGGTGTTCGGGTTAAGTTTAAGGATAGGTGTTCGGGTTTAGTTTAAGGATAGGTGTTCGGGTTAAGTTTAAGGATAGGTGTTCTGGTTTAGTTTAAGGATAGGTGTTCGGGTTTAGTTTAAGGATAGGTGATCGGGTGTAGTTTAAGGATACATGCTTGTGCTTAGTTTAAGGATAGGTGATCGGGTTTAGTTTAAGGATAGGTGTTTGTGTCTAGTTTAAGGATAGGTGTTCGGGTTAAGTTTAAGGATATGTGTTCGGGTTTAGTTTAAGGATAGGTGTTCAGGTTAAGTTTAAGGATAGGTGTTCTGGTTTAGTTTAAGGATAGGTGTTTGTGTTTAGTTTAAGGATAGGTGTTCGGGTTAAGTTTAAGGATAGGTGTTCGGGTTTAGTTTAAGGATAGGTGTTCTGGTTTAGTTTAAGGATACGTGTTCGGGTTAAGTTTAAGGATAGGTGTTCTGGTTTAGTTTAGGGATACATGTTCGGGTTAAGTTTAAGGATAGGTGTTTGGGTTTAGTTTAAGGATAGAAGTTTGTGGGTTTAGTTTAGGGCAGTGCTCCTATTTGAGGTGGCCATGGATAATCAGAATTGATTTATCTTTGTTTAGGGTTCGGAGTTTTGGATTTTAGGGTTAAGATTAAAGGTTATGCTTAAGGTTGAAGCCTTAAATCTTGGTCACAGCAAAATGGCGTCAAGCAAAATTGCAAAAATGTCACAGTGAACCACAAAAGAGAAGAGAGTTGCCCCTTAGACTGGTACACTGCTGCCTAGTTCCCTTGCTGGTCCCATTTCAGAGCAGGATGGATTGAGGGAAAGCGCCAACATGAAACTATGACACTTCAATCTCAGCAAATTTGACCTGTGAAATTTATAGAGACTATGTTAGAAGCAGGATATTTAGCAAATGAAACCAGGAGGTGGATGGTCCAGAAATATATATTGTTCCTTGACTTGTACTTGGTTAGTAGTGTTAATAGTGCGAACGCCTCATCGAATTATGGCTGTTATTACTGTCAGTTACCATTACATACCACCAGCAATTCCAGAGAGCTAAATACAGTATTATATGACACAGCTGTGGATTGATAGATATGATACACTCTCAGTTCCACATAGTAACAACAAATCAAAAGCAAAAGCTCAATCTCATGTAGTTTATAGAAGTGCAAACATGAAACACCAACTCAGTGATACCCCACAATCCACTAAGCCTTACCTATTCCCTACTGGACAAGGTGCGTCAGTTTTATGGTTGATGAATATAAATGTATACTTCTTCCCGATCTGTACTATACAAAGAATTAATTGTCCACTAAACCACGCATGCATTGCTCAGAAAAGGATGCATTTTTTTGTTTGCGGTTAAATCATTAACATCTTAAAACAGAGCTAATTATAAACCAAGAATTCCCAAGGGGAGTCTCTAATTCTCACCGGTCCTTCAGTGTCTACTAATTTCTATTGTCTAGGGTAACACTAAAGTGCCTATCTGCCCACAAGAGAATTTATTTAATAACAGCAACCGATGACCAATATAAAGTCAAGGATATTCATGCCTGTAAGAGTCCAAAAACACAGACATCACAGTTTGATTACATAGTAACTTTTGTGTGTGTCTGTTCATCAATCTATCCACACATCCACCCACCCATCCATCCATCTATCCATCTGCTTCTATACATCCTGAGGCAGGTGTCAGACTCTAATAAGAGGCTGAATAAGAATATTGATATGTGGTTGCATAACATAGAATTCTATGGATCCAAATTGTTTGCAATGAGCTTTACCTGATGCGGCACCATGAAAGGGTGATGCTCTGGTGGTCTCTGCAGCCACTCTGGAATAATCAGTTCTGTCATCAGCTGTGATTCTGCTGCTATGGGCTCTGCTGTCATGAGCTGCTGCTGGTCCTGATTATTTGTACTAGGGCAGCTGTTTTTTCAATTTGCAAAGCCATCCATTCTAGAAAATAAAAGGAGGATCTCTCTGAATGGGAATGTTGTGTTTGGCAGAAGGCGGGCGGTTGACAGCAGCAGACCCCTTCCTCCCGAGGCTGAGCTTGTGGATGGAAGGGAGGGGTGTGTGTGTGTGTGGCTTGGTTACCATAGCAACCTGGGGGAATTAGAGGATGTAATTCACAGTTGCTATTTCAGGTAGAAAGTAAGGTGGATTTATGTTCCAGAGCAGTTTTATCCTCCTGCCTTAATCCAAGCCCCATTTTACTGTCAGCTCGGCTTTGTTTAATACAAAATCCATCCTATTTATGACTTTCCCCAGCTTTTTTTTTTTTTTTTACTCAGTCTTGAAGGTTATGTAATAACAACAGCAATAAAATAAGAAAACATTTTATGATAGGTAGGAATTTAGCTTTATTATAAGGAAGCTTTTGCACGGTGAATATTAGGAGTGCAACTCACTTAACACCAGATTTTATCTGGATGGACAAAATCCAGCAGTAAAATGGGCGAATTCCGACTAGAATAACAATTCCCATATCTACTCAAATTAAATCCGGTCGGATTTCAGTCAGTCTGACCGAATCTGTACCCGTCGACCAGATGCATTCGGTGTCTGGATTAAAATCAGTACTTTTGCATCTGTAACCTATACAAAGTATAAGATTAGGAAAATTTATAAGGCACAGATTGAAAATAAAAATTGTATCTGAATGTACTTGGGAGAATGCATATTTGCATTCGTTGGGTGGGGGCAATATTGATATTTCCCCTTGCACGCCGGGGGGGAAGTTACTTATTAAACATGGGGAATCTAGTATCCTTCTCAGCCCCCACCATGGGTGGTGGGGGGGTCTACTAATTATAATATGGAATTCAGTGGCCCCCCACAGGTGGATAGTGGCTACTGAATATAATACAAGGGGGAACCTGGTGCCGCCTCACTAAAAATTTGTGCCATTGTCCAACCCCTTTGGTGGCTAAGGGTCCCCAAGTTTCTACTCCCTTTTAAAAATAATTTACCCTTCACCCTAAAAAATGTAAGGGGGCAATAAAACTAATACCTGTAAAATAAAAAATATACTTACCATCAAAAGTATTCTTTCCTCTAATTCTTTTTTTCTTCAGGTCTACAAAAGGCCAAACTATAATTCATGAAAACGTGATGCAACTATTTAATTATTTAGAATTTATTTATGCATTGAATTATTGAGCATTAATTCTCGGGGGGAAATATAATGATATAAATTACACACTGAATATACTGTGCAATGTTGGGCACCTGTGCTAAATAATTATATTATGACACTAGAAAAATTGCAGAGGTGGGCTGTAAAATTTATAAAAGGAATGGAGCATTTTAGTTATGAAGAAACATTAACAAATTAAAATCTCTTTAGTTTGAAAAACACAGCACCTGAGAGGTGATATAATAGCATTATGCAAATATATGCGGGGCCAATACAAACCATTGTCTGGAAATCTATTCATAAACCGGACTATACATAGGACTCAAGTTCACACATTTAGACTGGAAGAAAGAAGATTTCGTCTAAGGCAAAGGAAAGCATTTTTTTTCCAGTAAGAACAATATTGATGTGGAATTCTCTGCCTGTAGAGATGGTTTTATCAGAGTTATTGAAATGCTAGAAGAATACTTTGTGAGGTTTTTTCTTTTTCCTATAGGTTGTGGAAGCACCATGTCTCCCCTTATGGTTTATTACCACTTTTATTCTTGGTATAATAAATGCTTTAATTTGTAGAGCCTCAGAGAGGTGTTATTCAGCGCACCAGGCAACCACTGAAAAATAAAGATAATCATGATTATTTCTTACACTTTCACAGATGGATCCAGTAATGTTTTGATGGAGATGGTTTTTGCTATACCTTGACGATCACCACATGGTCGAAACGTTGCCTGGTTACATTGATTTTGATTATTGTTGCTGGCAGTGACCCTTGTGTGAAATTCTAAACTGAGTTCTACTGAAAAATAAATGAATACATTTAGTTTTCCTTCTTCTTTTCTTATTTTACATGCAGCCTCATGTGTTCAGTTCATTTCACACATTCATGGTTGAGAAAAAAATGTCTGTCTTTCCAATCTGGCTTGAGTTGAAAACACACATTGTGTTTGCAGAATGTATCAATGTTTCCAGAATCTGTATATATAAACCAAATAGAGGGCAATTAACCCCTTAAGGACGGAGCCAAATGTACACGTTGTGAACAAAACAAAATGTAAACAAAACCTGGCATTTGCGCTACATGTCTGTCCAACCGTAATACACCTCTTTCATAGTAAATGCACCCACCCTTATTATATATCATTTTATTCAGGGGAAACAGGGCTTTCATTTAATATCAAATATTTAGCTATGAAACATAATTTAATATGAAAAAAATGGGAGAAAATACGATTTTATTGGATTTTTTTAGTTCTACATGACAATTAAACGGTCAGTGTCATAATACTGTTTGCTTTTACTGCAATAAAATACACATATTTGTATTCAGCAAAGTCTCACGTGTAAAACAGTACCCCTATGTACAGGTTTTATGGCGTTTTGGGAAGTTACAGGGTCAAATATAGCACGTTACATTTGAAATTGAAATTCGCCAGATTGGTTACGTTGCCTTTGAGACTGTATAGTAGCCCAGGAATGAAATTTACACCCTTAATGGCATACCATTTGCAATAGTAGACAACCCAAGGTATTGCAAATGGGGTATGTCCAGTCTTTTTTAGTAGCCATTTGGTCACAAACACTGGCCAAAGTTAGCGTTAGTATTTGTTTGTGTGTGAAAAATGCAAAAAACGCCAATTTTGGCCAGTGTTTGTGACTAAGTGGCTACTAAAAAAGACTGGACATACCCTGTTTGCAATACCTTGGGTTGTCTACTATTGCAAATGGTATGCCATCATAGGGGTAATTTTCATTCTTGGGCTACCATAGGGTCTCAAAGGCAACGTAACCAATCTGGCGAATTTTAATGTGAAAAAAATGAAACGCAAGCCTTATATTTGACGCTGTAACTTTTGAAAACACCATAAAACCTGTACATGAGGGGTACTGTTGTACTCGGGAGACTTCACTGAACACAAATATTTGTGTTTCAAAACAGTAAAAAGTATCATAGCAATAATATTGTCCGTTTAATGCTGTTTGTGCGTGAAAAATGCAAAAAACGTCACTTTTACTGGCGATATCATCGTTGTAATACATTTTACTGTTTTGAAACACTAATATTTGTGTTCAGCGAAGTCTCCCGAGTAGAACAGTACCCCCCATGTACAGGTTTTATGGTGTCTCGGAAAGTTATAGGGTTAAATATAGTGCTAGCAAATTAAATTCCCTTTACTTTCGGCATGGGTTGTCATGCAGGTCCTGCTAATTGTAATTAATTAAGATACCTAATTATGTAAAAATATTACATAAATATATATGTAGAATCAATATATGTATATATATACGTATGTGTATATATATGTATATATCTATATAATTTTTAAAAAATATTTTTATTTATATATAGGTATATATATAGTGATATATACGTATATATTTATGTGTATAAATATATATATTATTTCGTTCTATGTGTATTTTGATATATATATATATATATTAATTTCACAATACAGTTAGAACGAAATAACACACATCTATATATTTTTTAATTATTTATTTTTAATTATTTTTGTAATTTTATTTTTTAACGTATTTACATTTTAATTTTTTTTATAATATATATAAATATATATATAACAATAATTATATATATATTTAATCAGTATCAGTGTACGTGTAATTTGATATTAATATATATATATAATTATATATATATTAATAGTAAAATACACCTAGACGGTGTACATGTGTGTATGTATATGTGTATATATATACTTTGATCATATATATATAATATATATATATGATCTAAGTATATATTATTTATTTTTTTACACTATTTATTTATTTCATTTTTATTTTCAGCCAGCAGGGGGACCACCTGTCATTACAGGCAGCCCCCCTGCTGGCAATACAGAAGCCAGCTATCCCCGGCCATGTGATTGTGGGGTCCTCGCTAGGACCCCACTCTCACACGGCCGGGGGGCTTCCTGGAGGACGGTCGTGCCGCGGGGGGCTCCCTGGGAGTCCCCCCCACCGCGATCGCCGGCGTGGGACCGCCGGCGACCGGGTAAGTACAGAAAGACCGGAGGGCGTACTATTACGCCCGGCGGCGTTTAGAGCCGCCTATTAGAGGACGTAATAGTACGCCCTCCGGTCTTAAGGGGTTAAAGCTGATCATAAAATATGTATATTAATGGTTCCTTTTTAAAGTGACACTTTAGTCACCAAAACAACATTAGCTTAATGAAGCAGTTTTGGTGTATATATCGTGCCTTTGCAGAGCCACTTTCCAATTCTCTGCCATTTAGGAGTAAAATCACTTTGTTTATTCAGTCCTAGTCACACTTACCTGCATGTGACTTACACAGCCTTCTTAAACACTTCCTGGAAAGAGTAATCTAATGTTTACATTTCCTACATTGCACATTCTGTTTAATTTACAATTTCTTGTCTCCTTCTCTGTTAATAGCCTTGCAGGAGCCTCCTGCATGTGACTAAAGTTCAATTTACAGAGCAGGAGATAAAAACATCTGGAGGAAGTTAACATCTGATTGGAATTGAAACCATTTTTTCATGCAGGCCATGTGAGTCAGGGGAGGTGTGGCTGGGGCTGCATGGACAGAAACAAAGCTATTTAACTCCTAAATGGCAGAGAATTGAGCAGTGAGACTTCAGAAGCATGATCTATACACCAAACCTGCTTCATTAAGCTAAAGTTGCTTTGGTGACTGTAGTGTCCCTTTAGCAAAAAAGTACATCAATAATACAGTAAAATCACCAGATTTATTTGAAGGTTGTCTATCCCTGTTATAAATGAACAAGAGCGCTCTGTAACGATAAAATGATAAAGTGTAATCAAACAATCAATGCCAATCTGCTATAGCAGCAGGGCCGGCGCGTCCATAAGGCGGCACAAGCGGC